AGAAATTAAGAAGTTCATCGAGCGAAAGCGAGCAACTTTTAGAGAGAGCAAGCCATGCAAACCGGACAAAACAACCCTGCCGATCTTGGTGCTTGCTGCTATGCCTGAGTCTTGGGTTTGGATAGCCTTACAGCATGAGGATGGTGCGATATCGCTTTTGAAGAGGGGCGATTTTGATGGAGCCGCACGGATTGACTGGACGCCAGACGGTAAGGGCGAAGCAAGTTGCCGTATTTCTTTTGAACGTGCTCGTCATCGCCATTACGGTGACCTGTTCGATGAGAGCAATCGCACCTTTGAACTTGCCGAGATTAGCCCTCGGATGACTTGTAACCAAAGTGTCTCGCGCGGAAGCCGTCTCACTAGTCACTTCGATAATCTCCGTTCATACGCCGGGAGTACAGTATGAGCGGCTGCTGATTCATTACTACTTACGCGCATTCAATTATGTCTATCTGACTAATGTCCAGACGACGCTGCTCGTTGAATGTCGACAAGCGAGCGGGCTGCCTTGTCAGCAGTTTCTACGAATTTCTCGCGATGCCGACGAGACTTACGAATTTGTCACGGTGCGTTTGCCTTGCATCGCCTATCTATCAGGTATCCTCTACGAATGGGCGAGCGATTGGCACGATGCCTTCATCGCCTATCGTGGCGGAAAAGGCGTATAAGACAGTATGAGGAAGCACTAGGGCTTCCTTTTCCACAGGATATCGTGGGGAGTCTCTGGTGCGTCTCCGCGGAAAGTTAGGCTTTCCGTAGAGGAATTTGAGGAATACGCGGCAATCGTACTGTGACCCACCTGCACACGCTCTTCGATTCAGGTGATCTCATCCTGCTCTACGAAACGGGGTTCGTGCCTCCAAAAATTGAGGAAATCATAATTTTCCCCCATTCTCAATCGATCCCATTGTCCAAGATGACCAGGCCGTATCGAGAACGAAAAAAGGGTTCGGGAATATGGCGTCGTTGATACTCCAGACGAACCGACTATATAAAAAAAGAAAAAAAAAAAATCGAAATCGAATACCTCTTGCGCGTCGCAATTCCCGCTTTATCGCTCCAAAATCGTCAAGAATCGTTGGTAGTGACGCGGATGACCACGTAATGGTTGCCAAATCTCTGGGATCTTGGTTGAGGATATCGAAGCCGCAGCGATGAGACGTTTGAATCCGAGCTGCCGACTATTATGCTTCCGCACCTTGTGCCCCGTGTTTTAAAGTATCTCGGTTTCCGTCGCCGCCATCAGAAGAAAAGTAGCCGTGACGGCTGTCAACTTGCGAATGTTGTCACCGAAAGTGCGGACACCCGTTTCATGGCAAACCTTTGCGAATCAGATTTTTCTTGTAGGAGCGCTTGCCAGCGGGTAAGCATAAAACATCACGCTTTCGTCTCTGACCAGCGCCAACCGGCGAGTTTACCACGGATCACGTTGGAGGATGTTGTAATCGAGAACAATGAGCAGACGTTTCTGACTGACCCGCCCACATTTGAGTGAAAGTTCACCGTACTGATATGAGTTTTTTATACGCACTTCAGTTTGTAGTATCTGCAATTGATTGCGTCATTGTTACGACCGGGAACGCCAATTGTGGTCAGTATCTTTTATCTGTGCACTATCCCACATCCCTGTTAAAAATGGTCCGCGATCAGACATCATTATGAGCACCTGCGCACGTACTAATTGCCTATTGAGATGTTTTCCCGAGTTTATCTTGTTACTGCATAGACTTTCGCATCAGGAGTAATTCAATGGCTCAACCCAATGCCCAGCCACCTGTAACTAGTATTTGATGTAGGAGATTTTTGGTGCTATCTGAAAATCCCTATTCTACTTTTGGCACAGTGATTGTCTAGGGATGTTCCCTCCTATCTGACCATAACTTTGAGGTGTGTGGAACGAACTGGTACCCCGCTACCCGCACGTTTTAAACCACGAGCCGCCTCAAAGGTACAACACGAGACTCCACAAACCTGTCTCCATTACAGACCCCGCCCCGCTCACCGAACAAAGCTGACTCGTATCATGACGAAAGTCCACACATATTGCTTTGCTTCTCCATCGTGTGCGTGCCCTCGGCCTTATCCGGTACATTTACCGTTGAGTATCCCCTGGCGATCCCGTGACAAATTTGGAATTTACACCCGGCGTACTGACGCCGATAGTGTGGCAACGGGTCCAAGCACTCAAATCGCCTGTTGGCGCAGCACCACCTACGCAGTATACGATATTGAATGTCCCGCACGCTCCGAATCCTTTTCATACAAAAAACGAAATCAACCAACGCAACCAAATCAACAAACCACAAACAACATACCAAACCCACCACGACGAACCACATGACACCATCATGCAAACACATCACAAAAACCACCTTGAGCCCCACGGGCCTCCTTCCTCCTAATCAAGCTGCACTCACCTTTTCGATTTCCCTACTTACTGTTAACTGCGTCCAGGCAAACGACATCATAACTGGTTTAAGTTTAATCCGACGCACAGGAAGTGAAAGTACGGCCCCGCTCTTCTTGATGCAAGAGATATCATGAATAGCGGAGGAACACCTTTGGGACAGGCAACAAGCATGGATCTGGCTGATGCCCCACCGCGACGGTGCTTGTCAAGTGCGATATGCGCCGCAACAGGAATCCCTGAGCATCAGATCGAAACGAATCCCATAACGGCTGATGTGCTTGCACTGGTGTATAGGTGTATCCAGAAGCGATACGACGGCGAGAGCAAACTCGATGTTTTTGACAGGTTCCGATGCCGTGTCCGAGCATCCCGAGAATCGGGACTTGTCGAGAATCCTCGCTTCGCGGGACTTACGCCTGACAAGTCACGATTGTTAGGTGATCCCCTAACAATCCCAGTCTGCCCAAAACCTCAGGGAGGAAAAAGATGAAAATCGATGTGAAAATCCAAGCGTTGTTACTGGTGGGGGTGATACTCGCTTGTTCGCCATCCCATGACTGGATAGAACCACACTCGATAGAGCTGGATAGAACCACGACGGTTTCTATCAGACGAACCCCCAATCTATCCCCCCGTCGCGTCATCGTCAAACGCGGCGACCTCGAAAAACAGCATTTTGTTTTGGCATTCAGCGCGCCCGTCCATCAGGTGACGGTTGAAGGAAAGCGAAACGGGAGGGCTCCCCTATCGCCCGTCGGCACAGCGCGGGATGATGCCAAGTTTCGTTACTATCAGAAGTGGGCGTTTACCTACCCGCAAATACACCCCGATCGCCCCTTGACTTTCATCGTGAACTGGATGAACCAAAAAGGTGAGAAAGGCACAAAAACATTAAATCTCTAACGAGGAGGTAACAGATGAAACGCCCCACCCGTATCTTCCTTGATGCAAGCGATCTAATCACTGACGAACACCTACAATGGACGCTGCCTCACTAGTCCGATATGCGCTGTGAGACGATGTAGCAGAATGCAAAAAGAGAATGTGTAGATATAGGCTTCTTCATCTACGAATGAAGCGAGGAGAAATCCCAATGAATTATCGCAAGTATATGCAATCCAATGTTCAAACAATAGGATTTCTATTCTTATTTTGCATAGTAATTGTTCTAGGGTGTTCCTCCGTTTTGCCATATCTTGACGGCGGTGAATCTGAATTGATACAAGGCAGATTTTCCGATAATTACTGGTCGCCTACGACGGGAAATACATTATTAACGCCTCCATTCCTACGGGGATATGAAGGGATAGCACGAGTTTATCAGTTCTCTACTGATAAATCGCAGTTCATGCATTTTATGCACATCGAAACGCTTGGAGATTCCATCAAGAATGTTGATATCTATACACGACGATCTGACGGCAATGTATGGAAGTTGGTGAAACAGTTTAAGGGATATATCCACACATCTACTCGTATTGCGTTGAATGTCCGTGCTTCTGATATCCGTGTTGTTCAGAAGACTGTCTCAACCAGACGACAATCTGATGACCTCGTAATCGGTTTGAAAGTCTACGCAAAAAAGCAATAATTACGAAAAGAGCAACCAAAATGCAGAATTTACAGATTCCTTACGCCTTGATTAACGGTGATGTTCCTGTGTCCCCTCAAGTCGCAGAAAAAGGACAAGATTTCTCATGTCCAATATGTGATGACGAAGTTGTCTTGAGACGTGGAGACATCAGGCAGCCTCATTTTGCCCATAAGCCAGATACAGGGTGTTCTGGCGAAGGCGTTCGCCATAAGATCGCAAAACAGATGATTTATCTGATGTATCGGAGAAGTATTTACACGCCAATGGGAAATGTTGCCGTATTCCGAAAGTGCCCAAACTGTTCGCGGTATGGCTCTTATAGTCAAATGGTTAAAGGTTATGGTGCTGATGTCAAATGTGAAGTTGATGTTGGCAGACACAGAGTAGATGTCGCGCTTTTCCGAAATGGAAAATCTGCTTACGGAATAGAGGTCCGGGACATGCATCCTGTTGATGATGCAAAATGGGATGCATTCAGAAAATTATCGTTCCCTTGTATAGAGGTAAAAGCCAAAGATGTCATTCGTATGTGGGAATATGATATAAATCTTTGGAAAGCGTGGATTCCTGGACTACTATGGCCAATGTGTCTTGACTTGAAGGCTATCAGACATAACCTGCATCTTTTCAACGATCGACTCTTTCGTATTCATTGTAGTGAATGTGATAAAGATGTAGAACACCAGGAAGCGGATGGGGATATGCAGGAAGAGGGGTATAGCGAGATTTCAAACGAAATAGATCGCCAAGTCCCCAGATTATTGGCAAGGGGACTTTCATCGATATTATCAATGCAGTTCAAAAAGCAAGTCCAAAACTACTAATTGCGAACACTTAATCTATACATATTCATCTTGATCACTGCTATTGTTGTCATAAAGAGACCGACAAACCAGAATAATCTCCAGTCCAAAGAAGCCAAAACTGTCCCTGCGCTTACTTATGGGGAAAGGTATGGCTTGAGGAATTGTCCGGTATAGGAATTGGGGTTTTGGGCGACCGCTTCGGGCACTCCTTCCGCGAGAATCTCTCCACCGCGATGCCCACCTTCTGGACCGAGATCAATGATATGGTCTGCGGTCTTAATCACATCGAGATGGTGTTCAATCACCAGCACGGTATGCCCCGAATCAACTAGCTGGTTCAGGCTATCTAACAGCTTCTGAATATCAGCGAGGTGCAATCCGGTGGTGGGTTCATCGAGGATGTACAAGTTATGCTTGCCCCGCTTGATTTTGCCGAGTTCATTTGCCAGCTTTACCCGTTGCGCCTCCCCGCCTGAAAGAATTGGTGCCGGGTGTCCTATCTGTAAATAACCCAGTCCTAAATCGTTGAGGACGCTCAGTTTATGATGGATGAGCCGCTGATTCGCAAAGAACTCAACGCCTTCCTCGATCGACATCTTCAACACTTCCGCAATATTTTTCCCGTTATATGTAACCTCAAGGGTTTCGTCATTGTATCGTGCCCCCTTGCAAGCGGGACAAGGAACTTCCACATCAGGCATAAAGTGCAATTTGGTCGTGATTTGACCCTCACCGCCACACTCCTCGCATCGCCCACCTTTGACATTAAAGCTGAATCGGGAAGCGTATAGACCGCGCGCTTCTGATTCCGGAGTGCTTGCAAAGAGCTTTCGGACATTATCGTAGAAACCGATGTAGGTCGCCGGATTGGAGCGCGGAGAACGCCCGATTGGGGACTGATCGATGCTGATTACGTCACTGATATATTCATACCCCTCAATGTTATCATGGTTTCCAGATAGGACGCGACTATCATGGAAGATGGAATAGAGTTTCTTATAGAGGATTTCATTAATCAGCGTACTCTTGCCGGATCCCGATGCCCCTGTGATACAGATAAAAAGCCCTAAAGGAATCTCCACATCAATGTTTCTCAGATTGTTCTCTCGTGCCCCACGGATGATAATCGAAACCCCATTCGCTTCTCGTCGATCTTCCGGGATTTCAATCTGCTTCTCTCCACTCATGTACTGCCCGGTTAGCGACACCGGATTTTTCAAGGCTTTGTCAGCAGGTCCTTCTACAACTATTTTTCCACCGTGAATCCCAGGACCGGGCCCCAATTCAATAATGTGATCTGCGGCTCGGATTGTCGTTTCATCGTGCTCGACTACAATGACAGTGTTCCCAATATCTCGCAGCTGTCTCAGTGTTTTGAGCATCTTAATGTTATCTTTTGGGTGAAGTCCAATCGTCGGTTCGTCCAGTACATACAGCATTCCCATCAAGCCAGAACCAATCTGCGTTGAGAGGCGAATACGTTGCGATTCCCCACCCGAAAGCGTGGCTGACCGCCGGTTGAGGTTGAGATAGTCTAGACCGATGCCGAGTAAGAGTTCAATCCGGGTCGTGAGCTCTTTAATCACCCGTGTTCCCGCTTCTCTTTTCTGCTCTGGGATCGACGTGATTCCCTCCAGAAAAACCTTTAATTCTTCAAAGTGTATATCACCCAATTCATGGATATGTTTATCATTGATGGTAACAAGGAGCCTTTGTCTCTTTAGCTTGCTGCCATCACAGTCAGGACAGGTGTGTTCGACCATCACCTTCCGTAGATACTCCTCCATCCCCGAATGTGCTTCCCCTCGCTTGCGGTAATGCCGATAGTGCCGATCGATCCGGTTGATAATCCCATCAAACTGCATCTCTCTTCCAATATGATGGTGGGTTACCTGCTTCGCACCTTCCGGCATGACAATCTTAAACTTTTCTCCTCTCGTTCCGTAGAATACGAGATCGACAACCTCGTCGGGGAGGTCTTTGAAGGGCGCGTCAAGGCTGAAATTGTAGTGCTGTGCAAGGTTGTACATCATCCGACCGTCCCAACGGTCGGGGTCGTAATTGAAGGCTTGGCGCACAAATGCACCTTCTATGATGCTTCTGGTTTTATCCGGGACAAGTAGGTCGGGGTGAACTTGGAGGTAAGTGCCCAATCCAGAACAGGTAACACAGGCACCGGTCGGCTCGTTGAAGGTGAAGTGATGAGGTCCCAACTCGCCCATAACCACACGATGTTCAGGGCAGCCAAAATCTTTGTAGAAAGCATTGATGTCTTTATCGGTTATATCGGGACTCAGGATATGGAAACTCATAAATCCTTCACCAACGAGCATAGCGTGGTCGAGGGCGGCAAGAATCTGTTTGTCAATATCTGGCTTGATAACAAACCTGTCGATGATGGCTTGAATGTTGTATTCCACCTGTTCGTCTAGCTCAATCTCTTCACTAAGGTCATGCAAATCCCCATTAATCCGAACCCTGCGGCACCCCTTCAAACGGACATCATCAAAGAGGTAGGGATAATCTTCGCCGTAGATCTTGAAGACCGGTGCGTAGATCTCGACTTCAGTCCCTTCAGGTAACGAGAGTATATGCTCGATTAACTGATAGGGGGTTCGGGTTGGGATTTCGACGCTGCAATAAGGGCAGTGGGAGGCCCCAATCGTAGCAAATAACATCCGCATATAATCGTAGAGATCGGTCATCGTACCCACAGTCGAGCGCGGGTTCATGGTAATTGTTTTCTGTTCGATTGAAACAACAGGGGACAATCCATCAACGAAATCGACATCCGGTTTCTTTAACTGTGCCACAAAGCGTTTGGCATAGGTAGACATTGACTCCAAGAAACGACGCTGCCCTTCGGCATAAACCGTTTCAAACGCAAGCGACGATTTCCCAGAGCCGCTAATGCCCGTCACAACCACCAGTTTATTTCGGGGGATTTCGATGTTTATGTCTTGTAGATTGTTCTCCCTCGCGCCTCTTATGCTGATTGTCTCCCTCATCCATGCCTCCTTTGCGTGGAATACGAAAACTGATGATGCTTCTCCTGTTGATTGACTTACCTGTGCTTATGCTATGAATCCCAAAACTGCCGTTTTTTCGACATACTATACATAACATAAGTATATCATTTCTCTATGAACTATTCAAGAAAATCTTCCGCTAAAAATCAACGTGCATGTTAAGAACTCCTGCAACAGAAACCGTAGGGAACAACGATCGTTGAACTCGATTTCTCCTAACGTTTCGCGCTTTCTTTTGATATGAGCCGATCAAATCGCCCTGAATCTCTCAATCACCTCTGTGTGTGAAGCAGTGCCGGTTGTCCCAATCTTAGTAACGGTAACCGACGCGACGAGGTTTCCGACCTGTGCCGCTTCAAGGTGGCTAAAGCCACCGCAAAGTGTCGCAACAATTGCAGCGGAAACGCTGTCACCCGCTCCCACCGGATCGACCTCCGTTTCAAGCGGAATGCCCGGTACATGTTCAACCTGTCCGTCGTGAAATACCAAGATGCCCTTCGGACCAACGGTTACAAAAAGTGGCTTCTCTGTCCGCTCCGTCAAGATCTGCCCGCATCGCTTTGCCTCCTCTATATCGGCTTCTTCCCCAGTCCAATCCGGATCAACTGCACGTTTCGCCTCAAATCGGTTCGGCTTGATAGTAACGTGACGGTACTTTCCGATCCGTGTCCGAGAATCCACAAAAAAGAGCTTGTCGGGAAACTCCACAGCAAGTTGGCAGATTTCCGTCCGCACCCGATCTGTTACAACTCCCCAATTATCGTGCGGCATCTGATCTCCCACAATAATCCCTTCCACTTGCAGCACACATTCACGCAAGGCACGGAGTAACCTATTCTCTACCTCAGATTGCATCATAGATTGGTTCTCGATATCAAATCGGGGACCTTCTGTTTCAACCCCTTCATATCCACGATGGATGGGTTTAAGATAGGTCGGAGTAACCCGATCCGGAGCAGTAATCATGAAATCTGTGATGCAATCGTTGGCTTCTAAGCGTTCCAGCAAGGTGCTACCAAACCCATCTTCACCAATTACACTCAACGTGTAAATTTCTCCGACCTCTAGCGCGGCGAGATTGTTAGTGACGGTTCCCGCAGCACCGGGGCTGTACCGTTGCTCTACGACAGGATTCGTATGCCAAGGGGTTTCTAGCGACAGGGTTGATTTCGTCTTATCAACCAGCCAATATGCGTCAAGGTAGAAATCCCCGACAACCAAAATTTTTCGCTCCCGAAACCTTTCCAGAATGGTCTTTAGACGCATTTCATCCATAAAATCTCCTTCCGTGACAATCAATGTCCATCAGTATCCTACAGACCGTTTTTGCATTGACGCGGGGTTTTTGCTTGTGCTACGATTGTTATCTGTTTCTGATGGCAGGAAGATGCCGATTACTTTAGCAGTTTTTCACTATTGGTTCAAGAGGAATAACAAATGGTTGCTAATGTTGCCCATCGGGGCGCGTCAGGAAACTACCCCGAAAATACGTTAATCGCCTTTCAGAAGGCGTTAGAAATTGGCGTTGATGAAATTGAACTCGATCTCTACCTGACAAAGGATGATCGCCTTATCATCATGCACGATTCAACTGTAGATCGGACGACAGACGGCACGGGCGCGATTTCAGAACTCACACTGGCTGAAATCAAAGCCCTTGACGCCGGAAGGGTGTTTGGTGAACAGTTTCGGGGCGAGCGTGTGCCGACATGGGAGGAAGCGTTAGAACTTGTGCAAGGCAAGGTTGGGCTCAATGTCCACCTCAAGGAAGGCGGCAATCCAGACGGAGACTACGAACGCAAGGTCGCAAAGGCGTTGAACGACTTTCACATGGTAGAGGATTCTATTCTGACATGCAGTGATGCAAGCGTTGGAATTTTTGCTGAGATTGACTCGCGAATCGAGTGTCGGATCTTTCGCGCAAATCGTACGCCGGAGGAATATATCCGAAAATCGGTAGAGATGGGGCTTCGGACGATGCAGCCGGGGCGGGACATCACGACTCGGGATTTTGTCCAAAAAGCACATGCGGCAGGACGAATTGTGCACGTCTTCTACGCGGATACCCATAAAGATATGCGGGCTTACATCGAAATCGGCGTTGATGGGATTCTGACGAACTATCCGGAACGACTAAAAGCAATTCTCACAGAAGCCGGGTAGAAGAAATTAAAGCTAGAGTTCAGAGTTGGCAGCTGTCAACTATCTTCTTTTCGACCGATGCCACCGCTGACTTCACAAGCGCATTGATGTCCAGTGCTGCCTCCGCCTCTTGAACTGCTTCAAGCGATGCGTTGGTTGCCGGATGTTTAGGAACAAAGAGCGAACAGCAGTCATCATGAGGGAGCGTTGAAATTTCAAAGGTCCCGATCCGCTCCGCCAATTCCATAATCTCTGCTTTATCATCGCCGATCAGAGGAACGCAAAATAGGAATCTCCGCGACCTCTTCGATCACGCGAAGGTTGCCCAACGTTTGCGAGGCGACCTGCCCAAGACTCTCCCCAGTAACAAGACACTCCGCTTTTGCAGCCGCTGCAATCTGCTGTGCGATGCGTACCATCATTCGACGGTATAGGATAACCCGAAACGGGGCGGGGGTTTGGGTTACAATTTCGCGCTGCACCTCAGCAAATGAGACAAGGTAAATCTGTGTCCGATAGTTCCAAGTCGCCAAGATCTCAGCAAGTTCTTCTACCTTCTCAAGCGATGCTTTGTCTGTGTAGGGATAGCTGTAAAAGTGAACGAAAAGTGCCTTGGTGCCGCGTTTCATCATCCGCCAAGCGGCAACCGGTGAATCAATCCCACCAGAGAGCATGATGAGGACTTTCCCGCTCGCACCAACGGGCAGACCGCCTACCCCTCGAATTTTATCCACATAGATGTATGCTGCTTCGTCAACAATTTCAATGTTGCAGCGCAAGTCAGGGGTGTGCATATCTGCTGATGCGCCGGTCGCGTTGAGCAGATGCGCTCCCACCGCCGCACTAACCTCAGGCGAAGTGAGTGGAAAACGTTTGTTTGCACGTTCGTTTCAACCTTGAGCGTCTTAAACTGCTGACCTTTGACGAGTTCCAATGCGGCAGCTTGGATAGCATCAATGGTCTGTTCTGCTGCCAGAGCGAGTTCAAAATGGGCTATGCCCATGACTTTGCCCAACCGCTCTTGAATTGCTGCGACATCCGCTTCGGGTTGCAACATCACCAGAATCCGTCCGTATATTCGCCGCACCTCTGCGCATCCCATGCCCTGCAATGACAGCTTGATATTCTGAGCGAGTTTCTTCTCAAAAAATGAGCGGTTCTTGCCTTTTAATCCGATCTCGCCGTAGTGCACCAGAAATAGTTTTTCCATAATGCTTATCGTAGTCCTGTCATTCCGTATCACTGAAATTAAATAGTAGCGGTTGTATATCAGACCGGTCTATAATCCGTTGGTTTCTTTTTAGTTTTGATTTCGGCAGCGGTGTTCTTGGCATTGTAGGTCCTAGGTAAGCCAACAGTTGATCTTTGGATACAGGAGGAACCTCCGGCAGGACTGCTACTCGCCATGTGTCCGATAACCAGCTAAAACGTACCCCATTAAATTGTTGACTATCCGGTACATCCTCTGCTAACTCCGCAATCAAAAGTGTGTCATCGAAAATTTCTTGTATAACAGATGCGGAATGTGTACTAACGATTACCTGACATAGTGGATTATCCAATCCAACAGGAATAGTCACGTTGGTAGCGATATTCTGAAGTAACCCTAGGATCAAGGGAATGCGTGATGGATGAATACTTTTTTCCGGTTCTTCCATGCAGATGAGACCACTCGCTTTTGGGTCTGATTCCAAAACCGATAGTGCCAGAAAGCGTAACGCCCCATCCGAAAGCGAGCGCGCTGGATAAACTGTGCCGCTATGGTCTGTGACTTCCAAAGTGAGCAGTTCACGTTTGTTCATCCCGATCAATCCTGACCGCTGCAACATCGTCAATCAGTTCTGATAGTCGAGCAGCGACTTGGGCATATATCTCTTTCCCTTGAGAAGCTGGGCTGCTATTTTTTTGAGATCGTGCTAGTCCATATAAAGTTGCCGGTAAGTGGGAGCCATCGCTACCTAAGCCGGGCGGTGTTGTGAACTCATCAGGTTCACGCAGCGAAGAAGATTCCAATTGCAGTAGCCTCCAAGACTGTATTTCACGACGCGCTAATAGTGCTGTCGGACTCTTTGCGGCATTGATAGTAGAAAGTACAGTGCGTGGGAGAGTTTGGGATAGAATAGTTTGTGGTCTAACACCCTTGCCCCCGTCTTGGTGTACCTTTATTACTCGATCCCCTCCTTGAATTCTAGTAGAGATGAAAGGAACCGCTCTCTTGCCTTTTAGTACAGAATCACGCCAGTCTTTTCTTTGGTCGGCGAATTTCAGGTGTTTGCCCCAATCGCCCAATTTCAGTCGATCAAGCCTCTCTTCAATAAGTTCGAGAGTTCCCAGTGAAGATAGATTGTCATCCACACGATATGCGAGCACGACACGGTAACGGAGAAGCGTTACTGTAGCTTTTGCTTGCTGCCCCAAATCATCCGTCCCCTCTTCCGGGATTATCATCTCGGCTTCAAGGGACATCTCCATCGTATCTGTACCGCCAATACGATGAAACAGATTGCGCACATCGCTTGTCCTTCCTTCCTCACTGCGTACTGACTGGGCTGCATCAACCAATGTATGGTCAGCTAAGGCACTGAGAAACTGAATTGCATCAAACAGATTCGATTTGCCCGTGCCGTTCGCACCGGCAACACAGGTGAAGGGTCCCAAGGGAATATCAACATCAACAAGGTTTTTGAAGCCAGAAACTTTTAAGCGAGTCAACATAACCTTCTCCACCGTTCTATTGCGCTTTCAGCTTACTGTTCATTTCCCAAAATGTCCGTCGTTGTCCGAAAGTGCAGTTTAGCGACATGGCGCAAAGATTCAGCACCGTGCTGTTTAACAAACTGTTTGCCTGCGTCAATTACTTGCGACGCGCCTTTGGGTAGTTGGATTTGATGTTTATTAGAGAGTTGTTCTAGTTGTTGAAGAAAAATGTCACGGGCAATAATTGATGCAGCAGCGACAGCAATATCACTTTCCGCCTTCGGGATTTGCACCAACTCGATGTTGGGATTCAGAGCAACCTGCAACTGTGTTTCCAATACCTCCTCTTTGGCGAAACGGTCTACAAGGATGTAACGGCAATCCACACGCTTGAGGAGATCCTGAATCACTTCGGTGTGAAGCGATGCAAGGAGATGGTTTAGATTTCGTCCACTTTCCCTGAATCCAGCATATCGCCTATTATATAGGGTTGGTTCAAGGCTAAGCATGAGATATTATCACCACAGCGCATCCACATTTCTTGGGCAAGTTTTCTGACCCGTGAATCAGAAAGTTGTTTCCCGTCACGTACCCCCAATGTGTGCAGTATTTCACGGATTTCAGGGTCGACATATACACCGGCTACTGCCAACGACCCAAAATAATCCCCTTTGCCCGCTTCATCTGTGCCAACCCAAGCGGGCCAGTTATGGTGACCTACTGAGCTTTGAGTGGATTTCACCATATCATGCCTAGTACCCTTCCCGTTGTGTGCCGGCGTCAGGCACAGGGGCAGCGCGCGGATCCAAAACTTCATCTACACCGTAGAATTGTCCCACTCTCGCGTCCCGTGCCACGGTCAACGACCTCGGGCCCTATTTCCTTATTCCCACGGATATAATTTTCGCGTAAGCGACCACCGTCATATACCGCCCATCCCCCATTCAAAATGATGTTGTTGGAGACTATCTCCGGCGAAGCGGAGGCGTAACACACAACAGCGTGTTGGTAGTTGCTGGCGAGTTTCGTTGTAATGAATCATCGGTCGGGAATCATCATCACAGACAACCCCGAACTCATTTGCTTGAATTGAGTTGCGGGTGATTTCTGGGGACGCACTTTTGAGGCATTTGATCGCTGTGCCATTTTTGTTAATCTCGTTGTCGCTTATCATTGGAGAACCATCGTCACAAAGAATTGCCAGTTTGTTATTGTTTAACAGACAGCTTTCAATCTGTAATCCATCGGATTGAGAGGAGAGTGCCGTGTCAGCATGCTGAATACGGCAGTAACTCAGACGAGAGTTGAGACTTGTCTCTTCAAATCGGATACCGACCCAATCGCCGGTTTTGGGCATTTCCGTCTCGGTTCCGAGAGAACCAAATATAATCTGACGGTCTGGTTCACCTTCCGCATACAACGATCCACGGACAATCAATTGATGGACACCGGTTATCGGGTCAAAACCGACAACGGAATCGGATCGGATAGTCAGCGTTTTCCCTTCGGGCACAATAACATCACCGGCAATTAGGATCTTTCCCGCCCAGACCTCGTTCTCCATCAACTCGCCCGATTTTTCGAGTGGATTCTCACTAGTGCCGAAATCGCCTATGTTGAATGCACCACCTTGACAGCCGGTCCAGAGGGACACAAGGAGCAAAATTATTAGATAGATCGAGTTGTACTCTTGGTGTTGCACAGAATCTCCTTATATAAAAAAATTAAGTAGAACCTGTTACTCTGTTACTTTCAAATATTGTTTTTGTTCGAGTGCCTCAATAATTGCGATAGCAAGGCTATATATTACTGTGAGAGCTGCCGCCTCATGTTCTTCATACTCCTTGAAATCTTTCACAGGAACGTTTCTTCCGTGTGCAATGTCATTTCGTCTGCTCACCAGTGCTGCTAGTCTGTGCTGATTATCTTCAACCGGATCAGAGGGTAAGCAAACATATTGATAATTCTTCAGGAGCTCTTTTGGATGAAGATTGCTTTGGGTTGCAAATTCAAAATTGAATTCGACGGTCTGATTGAGAATAGTAGAAAACTCATGGATAAAATTAGCACAATTCTCATTGGACAGATCCCCCTTAAGTCCCTTAAATTGATTTGCCATTGAGAGGGCAGCAATTTGATCTTTACAATCTATGCGACGAGGTTGTAGTTCGGTCAAAGCGTCTAAATAGGTATCAAGAGCAAATTTGCAAAAACCTTCATAATGTGCGTATAACATTGTCCACAGCGCACGGAGTAATGCTTGGTGACGTACCGTACCTTCTTCTGCCGCTGTGGCCTGCAGCTTGAGTTGAATGAGTTCTGCTTCTCTCCATTCAAGATCTTGTTCTAACTTTTTGTCCCAATCTGGCATTGTTACGACTCCAACAACTCAAGAAGTCCATTTTCGACAGCAGCAATGCGGCTCTCCAGCTTTTCTTGGGTGTTGGCTCCCGAACCGATATTATCACGGAATGCTTCTTGCTGACGAATCTCAATTAATTTGCTTCGTATGCAATCCGTTGAAAGATTGCTTATACGATCGATTACACGTAGTGTGCCTATTGTAACGCTTTCAAAGTATGCCGGAGCTGGTCCTCCAATCGGCTTATCTTCTCGAAACCGTACAAATGCGTCTTCCTTCATTGATGCCTCAAGGAGAGAAAATACCTCTTCAAAGTTCTTGCGCTCAGATTCATAGTCGAACTTTATTTTTTCTAAAATGACGGAATCCATGTATTTATCTAGCCATTCTGAAATGCTTCCTGCGAATAAGGTTTGTGCGTTTTTCAGAGCAAAGAAGCGTAGAACTAATTCTTCGTCCGTTTTCCGTTCTCTCTCGGTATCGGAAAGGGGTGCAATACAGGTGGCGAAACTTGAAAAAGATACACACTTTTTGATAAATGAATAAAACTTAATCCCTGCATCGCCCACCATTCTTGCACTGCAATTGCGAATTTCCTGTGGGGCGAGCAGTGCGCCTCCGGTGTTTAGCCGCTTGAACATCGCAAACCGCAATGGGTATGAACTTTGTCGTCTAATCATGACCATTCGTACCGCCGCCCGCTTAATATGGAGTCGCAATTGTAGTGGGAGACAATTAAACGTCTTACCATTAAGCTCGGGAACCAAATCACAGCCAATAAGTTCCAGTGGATTCGGAGGCTGCTCACGATTCAGCAAAAATGGATTTACAAAGTGAAATACAGAGCTGATTCGTTGCAAGCCATCTACCAGCTCTAATACGCCATTATCATTCTCAACTACAAAAAATTGTGGAATTGGAAGTTCAACTAAGATTGATTCAATGAGTCGTGAACGTTGCTCGTAGCTCCATCGAAAGAGTCGCTGATATTCAGGAGAAATAATCAATTCCTCTTCCTCATGCAGACTCATCAACTCGCTGAAACTGATGTCAAGTTGTTTAATGCGAACTTCACCAATCTTCTCATCAATAGTGTCTGTTATGTCAGCCATTTATTAGCAACTCCCTTTGAAAAAATACAATCATTAACTATTAACTACTCATTTTTGCTTTTCACTCAAGTTGAAGTTGATTATAAAAGAATCCACAATGTTCTGTCAAGACCGTTTTTGGAATGAACTAAACGAGTGCTTGACTTTACACTATGTTGTCTGATACAATACTACCAAATATATATTTCGTGCGCGCATAAAATTGTGTCGTACTTGATTGGGGCACACAGATGTTTTTCAAACGTCAGAGGACTGTTCCCACCGGCTACGCTGCCTCCAATTTCTTGCTTACCTACTTCATCGTCGGGCTGCTGATTCTTTCGCTCGCCTTCGTGTATTACACCCGACTGCTGCTTCTCCAACGCAACGAGGTTTTCGAGAAGCAGGTAGAACCGTTGGCGAAGCTTGCGGCTTGCTTGGAAGTATCAACGATAGACAACTCCAAAGTCAGTTGAGCCAGATTATTAAGGTAGGAGTTGCTGACTAAAAGCCGGCTCTCATTTGTTATCACGGATGCCGATGATGGTCAAGCCAAAATTGCTAAAAATCTCAGCGATAAGATCATTGAAGACAAGATTAATAATAGCATCCCGCTCTCTGACGCTGAGAAAAGAAAAACTTGATGATATTCTCGATCGGATGAAGCGGTACGAAGATCCAAAACCGCTCCATAATTTCCTATTGATGGGTATTTGTATCATGGTGAGGCGGATGCAAGTGCGATGAGATCAGCTGCCCTTTGTCATCACGGATTTAGAGGACAATCCAGCGGCAGTGGAAAATCTGGGATCAATGGCTCACGGTAGAGACCGCCACGCCGGAGCAATATGAGCGGGCAAAGAGGTTCGTTCACAATTCCAAAGCCATGGGGCGGTACATCCCTATTGCAAACCAACTCCGGGCCCCTTCAGGGATACCTGTACTACGAGGTAACTCCTGACTATATCATCTTCGTTATGCCCATCGTGTTGGTCGTGGTCTTCTCGACCATCTTGATTGTCAGCTTTTTGAGCTATCGACGGATTAAAACCGTTGAGCAAGCGTCGATTTGGGGAGGACTTGCAAAGGAAACCGCACATCAACTCGGCACACCAATCTCTTCCCTGATGGGGTGGGTTGAGCTATCAATGGAGTTGGACAAGCAGCGAGGAGACAGTACGAGTGCTGAAATTTATGCAAATATGCAAAATGATCTCACTCGGCTCCAGCGTATTACCGAACGTTTCGGCAAGATTGGGTCGTATCCCCAACAAACCCGCATCAACATTAACTCAGTTATCAGTGATGCCGTTGCCTATTTTCAAAAGCGTTTGCCGAATTTGAGCAAACAGGTTGAATTGCGTGTCGTTGACCGCGAGCTTCCCGAAATTGTGGCGAATGCAGATCTGTTACAATGGGTTTTTGAAAACCTGATTCGGAATTCACTTGATGCAATAGATAAAGAAAATGGCGTCATCGAAATCGATCCGCGGCTCCACCCAAAGGGAACATCAGATTGTCATCCTGTACAAAGATAATGGACAAGGAATCCCCCGGCAAAACCGGAATAAAATCTTTCGTCCGGGGATGACAACGAAGAAACATGGATGGGGACTTGGTTTGACGCTTGTTAAACGAATCGTTGAAGCATATCATCATGGACAGATTCGACTCATTGAGACTAGCTCGCAAGGAACAACCTTTGAGATTGTATTGCCTGTAGAAACCGTTAAAGATAAGAAAACAGTCAAACTTCTGACGAAAATTTCATTATTCTGGATGAAGTTTAAGGAGAGAAAGAAAGGGAAACTAAGTGTTAGCGCAAAACATAACGCGTAAAATCCTATGGGTTGATGATGAGATTGATGCACTGAAACCCCACATTCTTCTTCTCCGCGAGAAATCTTACGATGTCACACCAGTTTCCAATGGAACTGATGCGATTTCACTACTCAAGGAATCCTACTACGATGCTGTTTTGCTTGATCAGGTTATGCCAGGGCAGGATGGTATGGCAACACTTGACCAAATCCGTGAAATTAACCCCATCTTACCGGTGATTATGGTCACACAAGGTAGCGAAGATCAGTTAATTGATGATGCACTGGGAAAACGGGTTAGCGACTTTTTGGTGAAACCCATCGGTGTTGCTCAGATCGCTTCTACCTTAAAGCGTGTACTGGATCAGACTAATATCATTGAAGCACAGGTGCCACGCAACTATACCCACGATTTTAATCAAATCCGCGCCAGTAAGGACGCAAATCCAGATTGGCGGAAATGGATAGAAATCTATCTGAAATTGCTCGAATGGGATCGTGAGCTTAATCGCTTGGCACAAACAGGGCTTGAAGAAACACATTTAGAGCAAAAAAAAGAATGTAACGCTTTGTTTTCTGATTATGTACAGGAAAACTACCTCCGTTGGTTACAAGGCGAGGATTCTCCAATTCTGTCTGTTGATGTTGTTGATAAATTTGTTATCCCTCATCTGCGTGAGGAACGCCAGGTGTATTTGATTGTCGTTGATTGCCTACGACTCGATCATTGGATGGCAATTGAACCCGTACTCCAATCCTATTTCTATATTGATAGGGATTACCATTTTTCAATTTTACCTAGCGCAACGCTTTACTCGCGTAATGCGATTTTTAGTGGTCTGTTTCCGCAAGAGGTAGCGGAAAGATTCCCACAGTATTGGCAGGAGGACGCTACGGACGAAACCAGCACGAACCGTTATGAAAGGCAACTCCTACAACTACAACTCCAGCGTGCAGGAATCAAACTTAAACCGGGATTAAAGTACTTTAAGATCTTCGATACCAAAGGCGGCAATGAGTTTATACGCCAAGTTTCTTCATTTGATCGAATCAGCCTATCTGCTTTGGTCGTGAATTTCATTGATATGTTGACACATCAGCGTTCACAGTCAGACATTCTTCAACAGATTGCGCCGGATGAATCCGCCTTTCAATCTTTAACAAAGTCGTGGTTCGCTCACTCAGCGCTGTTCGAGATCTTAAAAATCATCTCGAAGCAGGACGCTGTTATCGTTCTAACATCAGATCACGGTTCGGTTCTCTGTAATCGACCATCAAGAGCGTATGGAAATCGCGAAACCTCTACAAGTCTGCGCTTCAAAGTTGGTACAAATTTAGGATGCGATACGAATCAAGCCATTTATATTGATGATCCGAGACGGTATAGATTACCTGCCGAAAACTCAAGCAGAAACTACATTATTGCAAAAGAAGATTATTATTTTGTTTACCCCAATCAATTCAATGAATATACCCGACAGTTTCGAGGTGGCTTCCAACATGGAGGCATCTCGACGGGAGAATTGATTATACCAGTGGTCACAATGACTCCGCGCGAACAAAGTTAAGGTTATAAGCAAATTAGGTTGAAAGAGTGTACTCACAGAGAACCTGTGAAGAATTTCGTAGAACAGCATTTCCCGTCTAGTGCGGGCGTATACAAAGTCGGAAAGTAAACGGGTAGAGGAACTCTTCCTCACACCCCACTTACTTTCTCCTCGCTCCTAACGGCTTGGCATTTTTGGTGTTTATCCTGTTCTCATGCGGTTTTCTCACGTATTTAAGTGATAGTACACATGCTCATTTAATCTTTTAATTTTCAAGTTCTTACAATATTCTCAATAATTTAAGAATTTGGATACAATACATGAAACGTGATGAGAGAAGTGCTTCGCGTTTCAGCTCTGGATGCGGTCATGATGAAGATTGTCATGAATATAGTGATGGTACAGTAACAACGAAACAGAAAAAAGTGAAGCTGTATCTATCGTAGGTCTTACGCCGGGGCGATATTGTACGATATACCCGGACAATGTAAAAGCATACGGACTACCATTATTGATTAAAAGATTACTTTTTCCTAAGCCTGATTGTTTTGTTCGTTGCCTCCATAAGTAGATCTGTTGTGAGTTGTGTGACCTAGTTCTTGAACTTAAGGACGGAGGCGACAATGCAAAAAGAGATTATCATTTCTGATGATGAATATGAAACGCGATGTGCCGTACTTGAAGATGGCGTTCTGACCGAGATTGATATTGAACGCAAAAATGACAAGCATACGCTTAACAACACCTATAAGGGTCGTGTAGAGAACGTCCTTCCCGGCATGCAAATTGCCTTTGTCAACATTGGGTTGGAACGACACGCTTTTCTGCATATTTCGGATATTATTCGCGATTTGGAAGAAGATAGTTCCAATGACGATTCCGCAAAACTCGATCTAAATAAAAAGTCGACCAATTCACCAAAGCCCGGAAGGGGATATCCCTATTCTATCAGCGACCTGATTCACCCAAACCAAGAGATCCTAGTACAGGTTGGAAAAGAACCGATTGGCACAAAGGGACCCCGTGTAACAACCTGTGTTACGCTTCCTGGGCGTTATGTCGTCTATCTGCCGACTGCGACGAACATCGGCGTTTCTCGACGGATTGAGTCGGCAGAAGAAAGGCAGCGTCTCAGGGACATTGCCGAAGCAATACGTGCTGATGTCGAGGGCGGGTTTATTATTCGGACCTCTGCTGAAGGAAAAAGCGAAGAGGACTTTACCGCAGAGATTAAGTACCTTGTTGGACAGTGGAAACGGATTGTTCAACAATCTGAGAAGATGGCTGCTCCTAGTCTTGTCCATAAGGAACACAGTTTCGTTGTTCGAGTCATTCGAGATTCGTTCACAAGTGAAGTCTCACGGCTTGTCATTGATTCCAAGGAACAATATCAGGATGCGATGGACTATCTTTCATCTTCTGGCTCTGAACTACGTTCACAGGTCAAGTTCTATGACAAATCAACCCCCATTTTTGAAGACTACGGGATTGATAAAGAACTCAAAAAGGCACTGAGTGAAAAAATCTGGCTCAAATGTGGTGGACACCTCGTTATTCAACAGACGGAAGCGATGGTCTCTATTGATGTCAATACGGGGAAATTCGTCGGGAAAAAAGACCCCGACAGTACCATCTTGAGTGCAAACCTAGAAGCTGTTGACGAAGTGGTGCGGCAGGTTCGCCTGAGAGACCTTGGGGGAATTATCGTCATTGATTTTATTGATATGGATGATCCCGAACATCGACGAATGGTCTATAAGTTGCTGCAGCAGGCGTTAGACAAAGATCGGGCTCGAACCAACCTATTACACATATCCGATCTTGGACTTGTGGAAATGACACGGCAGCGGACCCGTCCCAGCTTGGCAACTGTTCTCACTGAATCTTGTCCCTATTGCGATGGGCACGGCTCAGTCCTTTCAGCTGATACAATTACGATTGATCTGCTCCGATCTATCAAGAAAGCCTATCGGAAATCCCGGAAACGTCGGTTGAGGGTGGTTGCAAATGAACACATTGTATCCCATTTGCTTGACGAGAAAACCGGTAGATTGGGACAACTTGAAAAGTCGATGAATCTACAGATTCGGCTGCAAGGGGATGCGGATGTACATCTTGAGGATTATCAAATCTTTGCAGAAGGTTCTAATCGCGAGATTTACTTGAATTAATATTGACTGTTGAGAGAATTTTTGTTATAATTTTCGCTTGCATCTCCGCCTGCTTTGAAGGGGACGCAAACACTACACAGATTTTTTAAGGAGAAAGAAAAATGTATGCTGTATTTGCCTCGGGTGGGAAACAGCATCGTGTACAGGTGGATACGCTAATTGATATTGAAAAGTTAGACGCGCCTGTCGGTGAAAAAGTAACCCTATCAGAAATATTGGTTATAGGCGACGGTAACGGCAACGTGCAAGTCGGTACGCCATACCTCGAAAATACCGCTGTCGTCGGTGAAGTTGTACAACAAGCTAAGAACAAAAAAATTGTCGTTTTCAAGTCGAAAAGGCGCAAAGGGTATAAGCGAAAACTTGGACACCGGCAGCGATTTACCCGATTACGCATTACTGAAATACAAGACGGAAGTAACGCATCTGAGGAGGGAAACGAAAATGGCTCATAAAAAAGGTGGCGGAAGTACGAGCAATGGACGAGATAGTATCGGTAAACGGCTTGGTGTCAAGCGGTTTTCCGGCAGTACTGTGACTGCTGGGAGCATTCTGGTTCGACAACGCGGTACGCACATCCACCCCGGAAGGAACGTTGGGGTTGGAAACGATTACACACTCTTCTCGAAAATTGATGGCTATGTCTGGTTTGAGCGGAAGGATAAGTTCCGCAGAAAAGTTAGTGTTTATTCGGAACGCCCCGATTTTTAGTCGCTTATTCCATCAGATTTGTTAAATGCAAAGCCTCGTCATTAGGCGAGGCTTTTTTTATATTTTTACATATTATGATTATGCTGTAAAATGTGCTTCTGCCTGTGGAGCAGGGCTGATGTTATCGAACAGGTCCTATTTGACTCATCCAAATCTTTACTGACAGTTCTATTTTCTATCTTTACTAAGTTTTCAGAAAAGAAGTTTGAACTATGTCGAATTGGTACTCCCAAAAAATTCCACATCTTCTACATGAATTCAAAACAGACCTCGATCGTGGGTTGAGTAGTCAGGAAGCCACTTCCCAACGTAGCAAATATGGGAACAACGAAATTCTGCAATCCCATGAACGTTCGCTTTTTGCCCTCTTACTGAAACAATTTGCCAATTTAACAGTCATTCTCCTATTCGTTGTTATCTGCCTCCTTTTCTACCTCCAACGTGCGATTCATGAAATCTTAGTGTTTTCAGCCATCCTTTGTTTTCATGTCCTCTGGAGATTCATCCAGGCCGGGCGGGCGCACTCTCAGCTTCAGTCTATTAAAACCCATTTAGAGGTCAGCGTATCCGTTATTCGAGATGAACGTATTATCAAACTACCCCCTACAGCGATTGTCCCCGGGGATCTATTGCTCCTGAAGGAAGGAGACTATGTTCCTGCTGATGCTCGCATTGTTGAGGCTGATGCCTTGGTTGTTGATGAGGCACCGGTGTTTGGAACGACAACGTACACGCAAAAAACTGATGAAGAGACCTCTACGCCGAACTTGCCACCCGACAAGCAAGGTAATATGATCTTTGCTGGAACCTATGTCCTTGAAGGAGAAGCGCGGGCAATTGTTGTTGGGACCGGCGATCAGTTGGAGATAAGCAAATCCGCCCGGCGTACGCCCGCGATGGTAGACCTAGATGCCGAAGCGGAAGTACAGATGGGCTTTTTTTATGACTATTTCCGAATTGTCGGGGGCATATTGGGAGTGGTAGCGGTTGCCCTAGCATTTCTGTTTCAAGACAAAAGTGCCCATTGGAGTGAACTCCTGTTTCTTGGATTCGGTTTTGCCGTCGCTGCAATTCCAGAAGGGATTGCCTCAACGAGTCGAGCCATCCTTACTCAACACGCTTATACACTCTTACAGAAGGGGATTGCAATTCGTAATCTTGTCAATCTGGAAAGATTGGGTAAACTTACGGCAGTCTGTGTTGATGAAGTAGGCAATTTTATGACGGAGGAGATGGCTGTTTCGCACGTTTTTGTCGATGACAGTCTCGTCAATCAGGAGACGTGGGAAGCTTGGTTGAAATCCCGTGATGAACATATATCGGATGAGATTGGCGAAGATACAATTTCAACGGCGTTACCAGATTCAGAAGTGCCACCGGAATTTCCACTGTTGATTCTGCTTGCGAGTCGCTGCATCGCTGATAGAGGTAGAAGTGGTATGGAGGGAACTTCGGTTGTAGCGGAAGAAAGCATCAGCACTACACTAAACCAAATTGCCGAAAGAATTGGATTTGACTTGGAGCGTTACAATGAGGCTTTCACTAAGATTGATGAACAGATTCAGACATCAGAACGCCCATATAAAACGCTTGTTTTTACACTCCAAGATGGAAAGTTCTTAAAGCTAATGTTTGGGGATGCAGAGGCAATCCTGCAAACTTGCCATCGGATTCAACTTGATGGAAATGCTAATTACATGAGCTTCGATCAGAAGCAGTTGATACATCAGGCAATTGAATACCTATCAAACAGCAAAACCCAAGCTTTCGCCGTTGCTTATCGAAACCTAAACACTCCATCCTCGTCGGAGGAGACGCAACACAACATGACCTTTTTAGGCTTCATCACTTTTATGGAGTTGGAGTACCCTGATTCAAAGGAGATTATCCAATCTAGTCTTGACGCAGGACTTAAAATTGTCACAATAACAGATAGAGACAGAAACGCCGCTCTGGATATTGGCAAAGAACTGGCTATTGTTCAGGATAAACACGGGGTTGTTACGCAAGAAGATTTGGCTGAGTTCAGTGATGAGCACTATGAATCGATTGTGAATCGCTTGCTTGTGTATTGCCGTCCTTCCGCTGCACAAAAACAAAATTTGGTACAACATCTAAAACGTCTCGGTTATTCCGTTGGATTTTGGGGGAAATCACCACTCGATTTACGGGCAATGCGAATGGCAGATGTCAGTTTTTCCTCCACTGCTCGCTCATCTCATATTGTTCAACACCGTGCAGGCTGTGTAGTACTTAAGGACGGTTTTGGTATCATTGCAGGTCTCATACGTCAAGTCCGTGAATCTTATATCAACTTGAGAAGCTCGATGCGCTGGCTGCTCTCTTGCAGCCTTGCGCAGGTTATCACGCTCATCATCGGATACGCGCTGCCGTATATCGGTTTCTTTTTTCCTCCGCTACGCGACTTACCCATGCCGTTGAACCTGCTTCAGTTGTTCTGGGTTCATCTACTCGTAAGTCTGATACCGCTGATGAGTCTGGGATATGATGATATCCGTGGTGATTTCAGATATAGCAAACCTCAAAAGATTCCCCCTTTCCTATCACGAGCCGATTTCTACGATGTGCTGCTGCGCAGCCTTGTCATTGCATCAATGACTATTTTTAGCTTTATTCTTACATCTGTGAATTCAGATGCGACGCAGCAGAACCCTCATGCCGCGGCACAAACGGCAGCATGTACGACATTGATTTTGGGGTTGTTGATTTCAAATTTCCAGTGCCATCGCCTTTTCTGGGAATCTGTTTTCCAAAGAATAAAGGCAAATCTTCCCTTATGTTTTACCATCTTGGCTTGTATTGCGCTGCATCTATTTATAGTTTATCTGCCAACAACGCAACAAATATTCGGTTTTGCGCCGCTCTTCCAAGAGTGGCAATGGATGCTCGCATTCTGTGCCGTTCTGCTATTTTTGCCCTTGAATCTCACGATTCGGCGGCGTTAGGATTAATCTCCAAATAACTCTCTCATCCCATTCGATATGAATTTCCAAATCCACGTTTGTTCTGTTGAAGCAGTAGTGCCTTCATTCGTTCATTTTAATGTGACGAAGTCCTACTAAGTGCCGCCATCAATACATCGCGAAGTCGGGTTCCAACAATCTGTTCTTCGCCGGGCTGAAGGCTGAGAGAGAACACTGTCAGCGGGCTGCTCTGACGCTTGACCGATTTGCCATCAGGGGGAGCAGGAGGAAAGAATTCGCGAACCCGCGTCACATAAGGGTTGTAGCTACATAGCACTGATATAGACGGATCAGCCTCTCGCAACTCGCGTCCACACTCATCTACAGTGAGCCCAAAAGCCTCTTCATCCCAATTCACAATCAGTTGCATGAAGCGGTTACTACCGTTACGGAGTTCAATCTTAGTTTCAACACCGGGTACAGATTCCACGACCCCTGCGATTCTCTTCAGCGTTTCCGTTTGTTCACGGTACAACGCATCAAGGTCGATAGTCAGCCACTTTTCAAGAGCCGCCATACAACCGATAATCTCCTCCTTTCCGACCTTCATTGCGCGACACACCGCCCCCTCAACTGGCGTGGCATTCGCAAGTGCCGCCTCAATCAGGTCCTGTCGTCCGAGCAATAGCCCGCTAGCTTGCGGTCCCCGTAACCCCTTGCCTCCACTAAACCCATACAGGTCTACGCCCATACGTGCGTACCGCCGGATATTGTCAACGGGTGGGATGCCGCCGGCTGCGTCAACAAATACAGGGAATACCCGCAGACTTACAAATCGACACCATCTCTGCTAGGGGTGGTGGATCGACCGGATCTGGATCGGCAGAGTATCCTGTGCAAAGCATGGCAGTCTTATCGCTAATGGAGCAACGCAACGCATCTAGCGACCTAACCACCACCGGTTTTCCTCCTACCAGTCGCAACGCGCTGTCGAAGATACTACGCCCGCCCCACATGATGACCTGATCTTTGAGACCGGTGGTGTCGGGCAATTGCCAAATTTTCTCTGGATCGGTGCCCGCGATGCACGCTGCTGTTGCCAGTGCCGTAGATCCTGCAGCACCGGAGGAGATCATACCAGACTCTGCCCCCGAAATTTCCGAAAGACGCCTGCCCACCCCCCGTTGTAGTTCGACTATATCAACCATATAATGCGCTGCTTCATCAATTGCACGGCGCACCTCTGGCCACACCACCGTCGCGCTCAAAAACGTAAAAGGAAGGTTGGCATTGATGAATGGTTTGACACCTAGACGGGTATAAACGTTGGCATCAAAGCTGTGATCTGTTTCTTGTACTACCTGTTGTTCGGTTGAATAACGCATCCATTTCTCTCCTTGAGTTCAAGTGTGTTCCCTGATGAATCTCTCCGAAGCTAACTTGTATCCTTATTGTTTCTCCTCCCAAAATCAATTTAACAATGTGGTCTTGATTATACGAATTCTCAGATCGGTGTCAACGGGAAAGTATGGTTCGCGTCGTCTTAGGGTGTGGGACTTCCAGTGTAGGTTAGCGATGTGGCTCAGAAAAAGGGTTGACTTGGCTGCCGGATTGCTTTATGCTGTTGCCAACACTACGAGCCGGAAAGGGGAGGTTAAGATGGCTGAGAAAAAGTTAGGGGTGCTAGTACACGGAGCAGGCTGGGTCTCGACGCAACATATTAAAGCGTTTGAAACGAATCCACACGCAAAAGTGGTCGCAATCTCCAGCCGAAAATTGACAAGTTGCCAAGCCCGTGCGGCGGAAGCGGGATTGGAGAATATCGGGCTTTATGATAACTATGAACAAGCCCTCAAGCATGATGGTGTGGACATCGTTTCTGTCTGCACACCTCAATACTTACATGCAGAAAACACTATTGCTGCAGCGGAGAGCGGGAGGACATGTCGTTATCGAAAAGCCTATTGCCAATAGCCTTGAGGAAATTAAAGCGATGCGCGATGCAGTCCGAGCCGCAGGGGTGAAGACAATAGTCAGCTTTGTATTACGTTGGAATCCCCTTTTTGAGACCTTCAAGGCGATGATTGCTGATAACGCGATTGGTGACCCCTACTTTGTCGAAACGGACTACCAACATGACATTGCTAGTTGGTGGACAGGTTACGAAGACGCCCGAAAGAAATCAACAGGTGTGAGCGCGATGATCACAGGAGGCTGCCACGCCGCTGATTCGCTTCGTTGGTTTGCTGCCAAAGGTGAGTATGAAGCTGCCGATCCCATCGAAGTGTTCGCTTATTCCGGTGGCTACCGCAAAGGGGTTTCAGAGGAGTATGACTACTTCACCTCCCGATGGCAGGAGGCACCGCCGCTGGAATATGACGATTTTGAAATCTGTCTTGTCAAGTTTGCCAACGGTGTGTTGGGTAAGGTATCCGTCAATTACGGCTGCATCATGCCCTATACCTTTCCACTTGAGATTTTTGGCAACCGCGGATCGATCAAAGACAATCGAATTTGGTCACATAAATATCCGGGACAGAATGGGTGGGTTGAGATTCCAGCCATCCTGCCAGACAGTGCCGATGTCACGCACCATCCGTTCCAAGGACAGATGGACCACTTTGTTGATTGCATCTTGAATGATCAAGAATCGCACTGCAATCTGGAGGATGCCATTAAAACGCACGAGATTGCTTTCGCCGCTTTGCAGTGCTATGAGACAGGACAGCCGGTGCAGCTGCCGTTGTTATCAGGCTAAATTTGATTGTTATATGTGACTTGGTGTAGCCCAAGATCCTAGGTTGGTTCTTTGACCCAAGGATCTTGGGTTACGAGAAAATACCATATCCTTAAATTGGTACCATCTATTCAACGGGTTCCATTTCGCCCGATTGGTAACGGCTCCAATAGTCCCTGACTTTTCCCAGTATCCTCGGTGCAAGGATGACGCTGCCAATGATGTTTGGGAAAGCCATACCGAGAACCATCGCATCCGAAAAGTCTAAAACAGCGCGTAATGGATAGACCGCGCCAACCAAAATGAAGATAACGAAAATAAGTCTGAAAACAATAACACTTTTTAGACCGATACCACCAAAGTGGTCGAGCAGGTAAATCCAACCCCGTTCACCGTAGTAGCCCCATGAAATCATCGTGGAATAGGCAAACAGACCGATACTGATGGTAAGGACCAACGGGAACCAGCTTATGGCACTTGCAAACGCTTGTGTCGTTAACGTAATGCCATCGGACTGTGATAGGCTGGGATCATTCCATGCGCCCGTAATGATGACTACCATCGCCGTCATAAAGCATACGATGATGGTATCAATGAAGGGACCAATCATCGCTACGAGACCTTCTCGAACAGGCTCTTCTGTCTTTGCTGCTGCGTGAGCAATAGCAGCACTTCCGAGACCTGCCTCATTCGAAAAAGATGAGCGTTTTATACCCCACACCAGCACGCCAAAAAATCCGCCGTAGAAAGCATTACCTGTGAAAGCCATACTAAAGATGAGCCCAATAGCTTCAGGGATTTTGGTAACGTTCATTAAAATTATTAGAATCGAAACACATACATACAAACCACACATGGCGGGTACAATTTTAGAGGTTGCTGCGCCAATTCGTTTAATCCCACCGATAATCACCGCCCCCACCAAAATTGCTATTACGATACCGATGATCCAGTTTGCGCCTTCTGAAAGTCCAAAGGTACTCCGAAACGCCTCGGCTGTCTGGTTCACCTGAAACATGTTTCCGGCACCGATGGCGCCTCCCATAACCAGCAGTGCATACATGACCGCTAGTACCTTCCCAAGGGTAGCCCAGCCGCCTCCCATCTGCCTCAAGCCGATATCGACGTAGTACATGGGACCGCCGGAGATGCTGCCATCTCGGTTCGTCTGTCGATACATTTGCGATAAGGTACAACTGCTGAACTTTGCGGTCATTCCGAACATCGCTGCGACAAGCATCCAAAAAACGGCACCCGGACCACCTAACTGAATGGCAATCGCAACTCCCGCAATGTTTCCGAGGCCAACCGTTGCGGACAGTGCGCTTGTTAGGGCGCGGAAATGAGAGATTTCGCCGGTGTCCTCTGGGTTGTCATATTTTCCTCGAATAATGTCAATGGAGTGCTTGAATCCCCGCACATTGATCCAGCGATACCAGAGGGTAAAAAAGATCGCACCGAGAAGCAGGACAATAACTAGAAAGGGAACACTAATAACCTTTGTCTTAGGATTGCCGGAGGCGTCCAGCACCGGATTTCCATCTCGATCGACCTCATCAATCTGAATACCACCGAAGGCGATGTCGAAAAAGAGAACCGCGCCAATTGTCGCGTTAGCTTTGTCGAGGGCGGAAGGTTCTCCGCTTTCCTGTGCCCAAGCAGATGCCACATATAGAATCGTCAATAACGCTAGGAGTAGGGTAGCCATTCCTGCCTTACTATAAAACCACGATGCTTTTTTCTGCATATTTGCTCCTTTTTTCATCTCAGATGTATGTCCTGCCACAAAATAGAAAAATGCCAGCAACGAAATTTCATTGCTGGCAATCTAAGCGATTCTGTCCAACCTTGCTAAAGGTTTCATTCTTTTACATTCACAACTTGTCGGAAATCAAACACAAAATCGAATTTCGACCGCTGTTTTTTCTTATTGATAATCAGGACTTCCGGCAAGATAACTTTTACATCCGTTACGCCGATGTCAAGTCTATCGAACACTAAGAGTCCTTCACGTTGTGCGCCTGAGAAAAGTCGACCGCCATCAAATACCGTCTCACGCGCAACTAGTCGTTCGTGATTGGCAGCAGCTGGATCCGGATAGTAATCGTACATCCTATACGGTGTGTAAGGATAGCGGTGATGATACCGGTATCCCAAGCGATAGTTATATGGGTGCTGGTAATAATAACGGTAGGGACTCCGATAGTAAGAACGTGGGTAAGGATAACGGTATCGATATCCCGGGTCGTAGAATGCCACTGTTCTTGGTCTCACGTTTTCATAGAGTTCTTTGAAGTAGTCATAAGGAAGGGCAGCATACTGCTCACCGTTGAGATCGACTAAAATTGCTGTTGAATCAACAATAACCCGCGAATTAGATCTGTTTTCTATGTGAATACCGAAGACGGTATACAGCGGCTCAACGTTGCCCCAACGGTCAATCCCGATATACGGATTAATCCGTGCATCTTCTGTGAGTTCAAACAGTTCCACTTCATTGAGTGGTTCAAGCGTAATCTGAACGCCATGCTGCTCCACAGAGATAGAACCTGTTTGTACATCAATTTGGGCGTGTTCTCTGCCTGCAACAGGCTCCATATAGATTTCAATCTGCGGCTTTGGTGCACACCCTGCCAAAATGCTGATGGTTATGATAAGGGCAAAGATGCCCAAAAACTTTCGGTACATCATTTTTTCACTCCTTAAAGTTGGATATGTGGGTTACTAGGTGCTTATCAAGACCTAAACCATTATCAACTAATCAGCATTGGTGGATAACGTAATATTGGTGGTTTCTCAAGAATTTTCCAAACTTCCCTCGAAACATTCATAGTTTAACACAGAACGTAGGGAATTGCAATTGCATTCCATCCGCTTTTTCCGATTGCTTTAGATAGGCAGGTCTTGTATAATTTGCCAAACAAACTCTGAATAATCGCCCGCTTCCAGCTAGAGGATATTTTATGAATCCAAGCAAAAAACGCATTCTCCTGCTCTTACCTACAAAAACATATCGTGCGGAGGCATTTCTCTCTGCTGCATCGCAGTTGGGCATAGCGGTTGCGATTGGATCAGATCAGCCGCAAACATTGTCTGAGTTGTCGCCTCGAAAGTCCTTCGTCATAAACTTCAGCAAACCTGAGAAGGCAACGGAGGAGATTGTTGCGTTTTCCCAAACCCATCCGATTGATGCAGTTGTGGGTGTTGATGACAATACAACAATTTTGGTGTCAATGGTGTCTAAGGCGTTGTCCCTACCGCATAATTCCGTGGAATCCGCTCGCACCACCCGCAGCAAATATCAGATGCGAAAAGTGCTTGCAATGGGAGGTATTCCTTCACCGCACTTTGAACTTGTTTCAATCAGTGCGGATCCAGTAGAAATTGCGAGTGGTGTAAACTTTCCGTGTGTCCTCAAGCCGCTTGCTCTTTCGGCGAGTCGAGGTGTCATCCGCGCGAACAATCCAAGGGAATTTGTGAAGGCATTTCAAAGGATTGTTAGTATTTTAGATTCGTCTGACGTTAAATCACGGAAAGATGCTAGATCACAGCAAATTCTTGTTGAAGATTTTATACCGGGCATAGAGGTCGCTCTTGAAGGCATCCTGATTCGAGGGCGACTCAAGGTGCTCGCTATTTTTGATAAGCCAGATCCGCTAGACGGTCCCTTCTTCGAGGAAACGCTCTACATCACCCCATCCCGTTTGCCGGTTGATGTTCAAAACGATATTATATCGTGCACGGCACGAACGGCAGACGTGCTCGGCTTGCGAGAGGGTCCCGTCCACGCAGAGCTGCGAGTCAATGACGATGGCGCGTGGATAATCGAAATCGCCGCTCGGTCAATTGGTGGGCTTTGTGCACGGACGCTGCGCTTTGGTACAGGTATTTCACTGGAAGAACTCATCATTCGGCATGCCATCGGGATGGAAGTTGAGTCGTTGCAGCGTGAACGCCAGCCGGCTGGCGTGATGATGATTCCCATCCCTCATGCCGGAATTTTGCGGGAGGTGCGAGGCAAAACAGACGCAGAGCGAGTCTTAGGCATCGAGGAAGTTACTATCAGTATACCGATTGGGCGGGAAGTTCTCCCTCTGCCGGAAGGTGCGAGGTATCTTGGATTTATCTTTGCGAGAGGTAGTGCTCCTGAAAGTGTCGAAGCCTCCCTACGCGAAGCGCATCGTCGGCTAGAGTTTGTCATCACAGCGGAGTAATTCTAATCTACTCCGTAATTGGAACTTTACAGAGCGATAGCGGGATATAATCATAGCAAGTAAGGCTCTAACATTCTGAGCTACAGAAAGGCAAGGTGAGGTCGATGATACGTGCTGGTGTTGGGCATAGCTTTAGTGCTTCAGGATCTGAAGCCGCTGAACAAGCCACCACAATGGCGATGGGCAAGGCGAAATTGGCAAAAGCAGATCTTGCGTTTGTTTTTGCAACGGCAGACTATCAAAGCGAGTACACGCAACTTTGTGAGGAAGTACAAAAGATATCGGGTTGCGAGCAGCTGATTGGTTGTAGCGGAACGGGTGTCCTCACGTCAGATGGCGAGTTTGAAGGGAAATCTGTTGTTGCTGTCCTTGTGCTGCGTTCGGATCAATTATCCGCTCTTTCTTTTTGTGTTTCCGAAGATGGAGTGTCACCTGTTGGTACAACCATACGCAATCAAATACAGCCAGAACTGCGTGAGAATTCACTCTTAGTCGTTTTGCCGGACGTGCGATGTGTCCAACCTGCCGAGCTTGTCCAACAAATCGGAGGGAATGGAAATACGCTTCCCATTGTTGGTGGGGCTGCCTCTGGAGATCCGATGAGCGGTCAAATGCACCAATGGTGCGGGACGGAAATTACAGAGTCGAGTGTCGCAGGTGTGCTGCTGACAGGAGATTTCCATACCGAGATCGGCGTCGCACAAGGGTGTCAGCCCTTTGGAAACCCCGTTGAAATTACCCGTGCGAAGGACAATCTGATTTTTGAGTTGGACGGCAGGGAAGCGGTAGAGGTGTTGCGTGAATCGCTAGCATTGCTGACCGAGGAAGATATACAGCGTTCAGGCAGAATGATTTTTGTAGGTATTGCAATGGATACGTCGAATCGGTCACCGCAGCCGGGCGACTACCTGATTCGTAACATCACGGGCATCGATCCACAAAGTGCTGCAGTCGGAGTAGCAGAAAGGATCGAAACGGGACAAATTGTGCAGTTTCACGTGCGAAATCCTTTTGCTGCCTCAGAAGATATCCATGCCATCGTGAATCGACTGCATGAAAGAGCGCAGGCACATCCACCGGCTTTCGGGCTTTACTTCAATTGCTTGGGCAGGGGTGCAGGATTATACGGTGAGGCAAATCACGATATTCAGATTATCAAGGAAAAATTTCCGGATCTGCCGATTATCGGTTTCTTCGGAAATGCTGAATTTGCTCCCATTGGTAATCGAAATTTCGCACACGCCTACACAGGTGCACTTGTCCTCTGTTCTGAGACTTAAGAACCAATAGGGTGTATGGGCAGCACGATGCAGGAAGCGTGATTCATTCATGATAGACGCGTGTTTTCGGCGATACGCCACCGCCTATCATTTGGATCACCGGTGTTACGGTTGATGTCGAAAGTTTGGGAAATTGCTGCTACAAATATCGACGCGAATCCGGTGATTCACCGCAAATAGGTTAGCAGATGGCTCAAGCGGAATCTCAATCTGATATATCTTCCCTGCTTCCATCGGCTTCGATGTTTCCCACCCTTCCCGATAACGTGCACGGAGGATACCTTCGGATACCGGGAAGGCGTAACCCGTCGGATAATCGGAACTTGGAGGATAAAGGTCGATCAGCTTCACGAAAAAGTCGGTGTCGGGCGATCTGACGATACCCACAAGATTACCTTTATATTTCCAGCGATTCTGACCTTTTCAGACAGCGGCTGAGTCTGAAAGACCAATACATCTGGACGGGAGGCGATGGGCATACCCGGAATCCCGTGCCCCGGCAAGGGCTTCCAAATCAATCTGATCGCGTGGGCCCATCCCGGAGAACCCTCCCTCGGCGGCTGGTCCGTAGGGAATGATACAGCGGCCATTGCTGGAAACGTGTTCCGCGGATCATAGGTGTAGGTCGTCCACGCGCTCTCCTGACTCGGTCTGTCTTGTGATAGAGCACCATCTGAGTGTAGGTAGAATGGTGTCGGTTGGATGCCTTTGGGGGGCCAAATGTCGCCGTAATGCCATTCTCCACTGTGCTTCAGCCTCCCGTTATTGTCGCGTCTTCCGTCCCCACCTCCCATTGTAAACACCTTGACGGGCGTTCCAGTGTCAGCGTTCTGATCGTCCTTGAGCCAGCGATCAAACCATGCCAATTCCAAGTTCAAGAAATCATCATAGTTGTGAATGCTTCCTCCCGTCCCAAAATTCACATCCCCACACAACGAATTGAAGTTGTTATGCGTCCAAGGACCGACGAGGAGATACTGGTTTTCTCGCTGCATCTTCACCATCTTCTGATAACCGTCGATAATGGTGCGTGGGTACCAATCATACCAACCGACGACCCATAGGATGGGAATCTCCGGAAAACATTCAAAATACTCGTCCATTGCAAAGCCGGGTTGACGCCAAAAATCCGTATAGTCGTAGTTTTCAAAATAGAGTTGAAAGGCAGCGTCTTCATATTTGGACGCAATACTGAGCGGTGTCTGTCCCCGTTTCCACGGGATTCGAGAAGCCCAATTCAGAAAGTTCTGACCTGAACTCATCGTCCGAACCGCTTCGGCGATAGCGGGATTTTGCTGTGCCTCTTGGCTAGTTGTTGCCGTTTCAAGAATCCACTTCAAAAGTCCCAAGTGCAGCGCACCACCCGCACGCATACTGTAGTGATACGCATTGATGGGACCCTCATACGGGATTATTGTGGCTAACCCCGGTGGGTTTTGCGTCGCTGCGTGGAACTGTACCCAAGCCATGTGAGAACAGCCATACATACCCACCTTTCCATTGCAGGAGGGATGATTTGCGAGCCACACCACTGTGTCATAACCATCTTGCGGCTCATCTCGAAACGGAAAAAATCGCCCGCCAGATTTGAAGCGACCACGGCAGTCCTGCACCACTGATAGGTAACCGTGCTTAGCGAAGAAGCTCCCCATGTTCTCGTAACTTTCCTTCTTGTAGGGGGTTCGCTGCAAAACAGCAGGCAGTTTGCCCTTCCAACGGACGGCCGTCTGCCGCAGGAAAGTAGAGATCTGCAACCAGATTCACGCTGTCTCGCATAGGGACCGTAACGTCCCGTACAACAATGACATCCCATGTCTTTTTTCTACTCATATTTTTCCTGCTTGCCTTTTTTACTTTGATTTTGGTACACTAAACAAATCCATAACCATCTATCACTATTTTGAGCAATTATAGAAGATCGCTAAAATGGACTAAATCAACTTTGGAGGATATATTGATGAGCCTCACCAACACGGAATTGCAACAGTTTAATGAAGAGGGATATGTGGTGAAACCCGCTGTCTTTTCGCCGGAAGCCCTACAACCAATCCAAGATGCGCTTGGCGAAATAGTCGATACAGAGGCGAAACGCTTGCAATCTGAGGGTGTGTTGGAAGACATTTGATTCCGACGAACCTTTTGGCAATCGTCTGGGACTTATCAGAAAATCCAACCTCGACGCAGCAATAGAGATTACTAGAGGTGTCATGGGATCAGGCGGCGGCGGTTTTAATGGGGTATCAATGTTCGGTATGCTCACCCACCCACCCTTACTCTCTTGCATCGAAAGCCTTATCGGACCAACCATTATCGGTGCTTCGGCGTACCGCATTCGTCCAAAGCTGCCGGAATGGGAACGTGGTGAGGTGCCGTGGCATCAAGATTCCGGTTATTTTCTCCCCTCACTGTGATAAGCATCTGCTCGTCACCTGCTGGATCCCTCTAGTTGATTCAACCCGGAATAACGGTTGTCTTTACGTAATGCCAAAGGTGCATCGGGGAGGAGTTTTTCAGCATTATACCGGAGGGCATGGTGGATACCTTGAAGTGCCTACCGATGAATTTCCAGACACGGGACCCATTCCGATGGAGATGAAGGCGGGGGATGTACTGTTCATGACCAACCTAACACCGCACGCCTCTTTTGAAAATAACAGCGATCAGGTGCGTTGGAGTGTAGATTTGCGCTACCAAAGCGCTGAAGCCCCAAACAACGCAGACGAAGGTCCGGAATCCTATACACCGGAACGTGAAACCGTTACGATGGCGTGTTACCCACCAGAAGCCGATTTTGTCCTGCGTAATCCCAAACAGCCAGAGCAGGAGGTTCGCAGCCCCGAAGAATTCCGTAAAATTCGAGAGCGTTATCAGGGAGCAGGAGCATTCCACCCCGGACGGGGTTGGACACGGCTTGAGGATAAAAATAATTAAATCCTTCAAAGCCCCAGCGGGGCGGAATGTGTATAGAAAAACCGAATCACTACATTCTAAAGCCCCAGCGGGGCGACATGTGTTGAAGCCGAAAGGGAGAAACAAACTTTTTTACGCTGACACAATACTATCGGAGGTGCCACCAGTTAAATAAGCAGCCCGCTCTTTCCACCGAACTAAAGAATAGCAGGGGAGAAATTCCATGACAGTCCTAGGCAAAGATAAAATTCACTATATTGAAAAAGTTCTACTGTACACGCCGATAATGGTGGGTGTTTTCCTCGCATTATCTGTTTGGGGAGGAGGGCTCACTTTTGGGTTGATGGGTGTTGGTTTGATACTGATAGGTGTGTTACTAGATAGCATCAAAAAAATCGCAGGAAACAATAGACGTTTCGTGCCGCCTATGTCTTCAATTTTCCTTATTGCTCTTGGAGTGTATTCTCTGATAGATATGGATATCTATATAGGCATATTTTACATGTTGATGGGTATGAGTCTGATATTTGACAAGTTCTTGAAAGGGAAGTGGAAGCATATTTGTTACGCTGTTGCTCTAGGGTTCGCTGTGGGTGCCCTTATCTTAGGAGAGATTAACGACGGAAAATCACAGGCTATTGAGAACGAAGTAGGTCTGCAGCAAGATGTTACAGGTAAGAGATACTTTCATGCCTGATACCCACCCGTATTGAATAACACCACCCTGTTTTCGGGCTGAATTTCCTTAGTTTCCACTAGTTTGGAGAGCCCAGCAACCGTTGCCGCACCTTCAAGGCAAGCCAAAATACCTTCGTGCGTCGCCAAGGTCCCCATCGCCTCCCGTATTTTCATGGTCGGTGACGGCGATCGCAGCCCCACCACTCTGGTAGATAGCATCAAGGATCAGAAAATCACCAACGGCTTGTGGCACCCGCAAACCCGCTGCAGTTGTCTGCGCATTTGCCCACGGTTCGGCTTCAGTTGCCCCTTCTTGCCACGCTTTGACGATTGGAGCGCAACCCGCCGATTGTACAGAGATCATGCGCGGACGTTTCCCATCGATCCACCCGATGGCTTCCAACTCCTGAAATACCTTCCACATTCCAACAATCCCTGTACCCCCACCTGTTGGGTAGATAATGACATCGGGAAGTTCCCAATTAAACTGTTCCGCTATCTCAAGCCCCATTGTCTTTTTCCCTTCAACCCGATACGGTTCCTTGAGCGTTGAAACGTCAAACCATCCTTCATCTTCCTTGCGCTCGGCAACGATTTTCCCGCATCCGTGATCAATCCGTCAATGAGCGTAACATTTGCGCCCGCCAGTTGACAAGTGTTACGGTTAAACGGAGGAGCATCTTGGGGCATGAAGATATGCGCCTCCATCCCCGCTTGGGCTGCGTAGCTGGAGAGTGCAGTCGCCGCATTACCGGCGGACGGGATTGCGAGTTTGGTCAATCCGAGTTCTTTGGCTTTAGAAACTGCCATTGCCAACCCACGTGCCTTAAAACTGCCGGTCGGTAGACGGGACTCATCCTTCACCCACAACGCTTCGAGTCCTAAGAAGGCAGCGAGTCGTTGTGCCGGGAGAAGCGGCGTCATTGACTCATTGAGAGAAACGATGTGTCGTGAATCAATCACAGGCAGGAGTTCGGCATATCGCCACATTGATGGCTCACGTCCCGATAGAGAAGATTTATCCCAGTTTGAGCGATCTTATCCAACGCATAACGCGGAAATAAAGGCTTCCCGCACTGCGTGCACAAATTCTGTGGGACGTTAGGGTCGTAGGTTTGGGCGCAACGGCTGCATTCGAGGTGAGTGAAATGACTCATAGTGCTCCCAACAGTTTCAGGATTAACCCTTTCATACTATGAAGTCGGTTCTCCGACTGATCAAACATGATCGATCTCGGGTCTTCAACGATTTCACCGGAAATTTCATAACCACGGTGGGCGGGCAGACAGTGCATAACTAGAACATCCTGCCCTGCGAGTAACTCCGCGTTCAGCTGATAGGGAGAAAGTGTCTTAATGCGTCGTTCCTTCTCCTCCTTAAACGCTGGATCTGTGAAAAACTCCATATCGACCCATGTGTCGGTATACACAACATCGCTGTTTGCAACTGCTTGGTGAAGTTGATCCGATGCCTTGTACGTGCCCGCTTTACGTGCCGCTTCATAGAGTTCCTCATCGACAGCTGCGGGATTAATCTCCGGTGCAGCGACAGTTACTTCCATACCCGTCTTTAGCCCGGCGGTAATCAATGAATTGCATACGTTATTGTGCACCCCGATATAAGTGAGTTTAATCCCTTCAATACGTCCAAATTTTTCCTGTATCGTCATCAGGTCACCGAGTGCCTGTGTCGGATGGTAACGGTCGCAGCACCCGTTGATGACTGGCACCGTCGCGCCCTCGGCTGCCTTCACGACATCTGCATGTTCGAGAAAACGAGCGAGAATCAGGTCTGAGTAAGCCGATAGCACGCGAATTTCATCGCGTAAAGTCCGCAAGCGCGAAGTTGGTGGTGCGCCAATCTAGATAAACTGCATGGCCACCCAATTGGGTCATACCGACTTCCCCAGCACAGCGGGTTCGGGTTGAGGTCTTCTGGAAAAGCATAGCGAGACTGCGCCGACTCGTAGCATTCGCATACCGTTCTGGATTGTTTTTGATTGCGATACTGCCCTCTACAACCCCAATTACATCTTCCGTTGACCAGTTTTCAGTGAAACGAGATTCATGATCGGTCTCCAAAAGTTTGAAAAGCATGATTATACTGCATGGCAGCCCTCATGTCAAGCCAGAATGAGGCTAAAAAGGTTTGACGCTGATACATACTTCTGCGAAAATAGATAGACAGGTTTATATTGATGCCTATCTCTCCATCGCTCAATGAATATAGTGTACACCCAGACTTGAGGCACCCAATCAATGGATACAATCAAACTCCAACTTTACACGAAAGCTGATTGCCCTCTTTGCGATGAAGCGAAGGAATCACTTGAACCGCTCGCAGCGCAGCTTCCAATCCAGATTGAAGAAATTGACATCACGGCAAACTTGGGGCTATTCACAAAATATAAAGAGCTGATTCCTGTGCTTGAGTTGGAAGGGAAACGGTTGTTTGTGCATCGGATCCATGTGAAAGGCCTCAAGCGAAAATTGATGTGGCGGCGGTGGCGGCGGTGGTTCATTGACAAGGGGTGGGCACCTGAAAAATAACCCACAAGCAACTTGTCTATTCTATCCCTGCCTTGTAGAGGGTTGACTACGGGAAGTCTTTACTCTCCACTTGACACGCCTATGAATTTGTGATAGACTTTGCGACGCAAATATAACTGTATCAGCTATTGAATCGCAACATCAAATGTTTAGAAGGAGGTCTACTTATATGGCAGATGTAGGAAGTGCTGCGCCTGATTTTACACTCACAGGTACTCTCGGTTCCGAAGATACAGAGGTCTCTTTGGACAACTTCAAAGGGAAGAAATCTAGTGGTCATATTTTATCCACTCGACTTCTCCCCGGTTTGCTCCGTACAGATTCCCGATTTTAATGAAAATGTCGATGAGATTCGCGCGAAAAATGCTGAAATCATTGCGATAAATCGTGATTCAGCGTTTGCACATAAAGCGTGGAGTGAGCATTTGGGCGGCGTTAAGTTCCCGCTCTTGGCGGACATGAATCTTGCCGTGTCAAAGCAGTTTGGGATGGCGCTTGAAGAGGTCGGCATCACGAACCGCGGCGTTATCATTATTGATGCGGAAGGCAATATCGCTTTCAAGCATGTTGAAGATGCGCCACCGGACAACACCCTTGCCGTGAATCAGGTACTGAGTGAACTTGATAAATTGAGCTAAATCGATATTCCCAATCTAAGTTGAAACACTAAGGTCGTGGACGGGCTTCAGAGATTTAATCTTTGAAGCCCGTTTTTTATCAGGCACGGCCTCGACTCTTAGGGAAGCAGCAAAGAAACGCACGACGATTTCGGCAGCTCGTTTATGTTCAAAATTGTCGGACACTTTGGATTGAAGTCTGTATGCTTTTCACGTTTCAACCCTGTGCATCACAACCAAATTATCCCGGTGAATCACTTCGTTATAGTAGTAATAGCCGAGAACCTTTTCAATTTCGCTGGTCTGCTTGCCCATAATCCGTTTCAATTCGTGGGTATTATAATTAACAAGCCCTCTGGCAAGTTCAATACCGTCTTGGTCTCGACAGGAGACGGTGTCCCCGTGATTAAAGTTTCCCTCTACTTGTTGAATCCCGGAGGGTAAGAGACTTCTACCTTGATGGACCAACGCACGACGCGCCCCACTGTCCACAAACAGACGACCTTTCGGTGGTCGTGAATAGGCAAATCCACCTTTTCCGTCCTGACATCCGCTCCTGTGGGAGAAACAGCGTTCCAATCTTTTCACCCGCCAGTATTCGGCTGACAACTTGGGACTCGGTGCCCATTCGCAAGCACCATCATCTCACCGGATCCGGTCACAATTTCCGCAGCGTGTAGTTTTGTAGCCATGCCGCCGGTGCCACTCTGGCTGCCCGCGCTTCCCGCTGAACGTTTGAGTTCATCAGTAACATCATAGACAAGGCTAATCATTTTGCTTCAGGGTCCTTGCGAGGGTCTGCGGTATAAAACCCATCCTGATCCGACAAGATAATCAGCAGATCTGCCTCTGCGAGATTAGTTACATACGCCGCCAGCGTATCGTTGTCGCCGACCTTGATCTCCTCCACTGCAACGGTATCATTTTCGTTGATAATTGGAAGTGCACCAAGCCGCAACAGAGCGCGTAACGTATTGCTCATGTGTGTATAGCGTTCGCGGAAATTGAAGTCGTCCTGTGTCAGCAGCATCGTACCTGTAATCTGTTTATATTGCGAAAACCGATGCTCATAAGCGTGCATCAAGCGGGTCTGTCCAACTGACGCAGCTGCCTGTAACCCAGGGAGTGTTTGTGGGCGTTGCGTGAGTCCCAATCTCCCTGTGCCCGCAGCGATTGCACCAGAGGTAACGAGAATAACCTCTTTACCCTTTTGCTTCACTGATGCGAGATCTTGTACCAATGCGTCTAGACGCTCGGAATCAAGGTCAAAGTTCTTTGAAACGGTTGTGCTGCCAACCTTCACGACAACTCTTCGAGCGCGCGCTAACAGTTGACGAGGTTCAATGTGTGTTGATTTCATCAGGGCTATAGTAAACTCGAAGGTATCAACTTGGACAGTATCGCCTTCCGTGATACCAGCTTTGATGAGCGCATTCAGGACGCCCATTTTTTTTAGTTTTCGATGGAGGAGAACCAGTGCCTGATCATTTTCCATATCGGTCATGAGAACAGCGCGACGCGGTTCTTCGCCACGCACGATAAAACGATCTTTCTGTGTAATGAGTTCAAATCGCTCGTCAGGTGTGGGTATGTGGAAGGTTGGTTGAGGTTCTACAGTTTCTTGGCGTTCACGGATCCGTTCATTTATCCGCTGCAGGAGTTGATAGGCTGCTCTGATGAGCCGGTCTACTCCTTCGCCGGTGACCGCAGAGATTGGAAAGACACGACGTTTCCCGAAGTAGTCTTTAACTCGCTCCAGATTGGTCTGTGCATCAGGAAGGTCAATTTTATTTAGGACAATTAACTGTGGCAGGCGAACTAAGCGAGGGTTGTAACGTTCGAGTTCCGTGTTAATCTGTTCGTAATCGGTGATTGGATCGCGTCCATCGACGGAGGCAGTATCGATGATGTGGAGGAGCATCTTCGTGCGTTCGATATGCCGCAGAAAGTCATGTCCCAGTCCTGCACCTTCGTGCGCGCCCTCAATGAGGCCAGGAATATCTGCAAGCACAAAGTTGTGTTCTGGATCAACTCGGACGACACCTAGGTTGGGGGTCAGGGTTGTAAAAGGGTAGTCCGCAATCTTCGGTTTTGCGGCAGAGGTTCGTGCGAGCAGTGTCGATTTGCCTCCATTTGGATAGCCGACCAAGCCAACGTCTGCAATCAACTTGACTTCTAGAGTGATGGTACGTTCCTCTCCTGGTTCTCCCTTTTCAGCGACGCGCGGAGCTTGAAACGTGCTGCTCTTGAAGCGTACATTTCCTTTGCCGCCAATTCCACCACGTGCGATAACTGCACGCTGCCCCACCGCTTTCAGGTCCGCAATGACCTCCTCTGTCTCCGGCAACCGTACAATCGTACCTGCTGGACTTTGACGAGCCGATCTTCGGCATCCGCCCCGTGCCATAGTTTCCCCATACCGTGTTCACCATTCTCTGCAACCTGATGGGGGTTATATCGGAAATCAATGAGTGTGCTTATTCCCTCGGCAACTTCCAAGATGACGCTTCCGCCGTGTCCACCGTCACCACCATTGGGACCACCTCGCGGCACAAATTTTTCGCGACGAAAACTAATGCAGCCGTTTCCACCCCTACCACCCTTCGCATAGATTTTTGCGGTGTCTATATTCATCATTTGCTCGCTTCCTTACTTTCTACAACGCATAGTAAATAGTGAACGAAACAGAAAAATAGGGGGTAGGAGGGAAAATCGGCGGATTCGTTAGGGATATAGAAAACAGATTTCAGGTGCTTAGATTCCATTCATCTGCACAGTTGCGCCGGCGGAATCGATGGGTAGAACCTTGATATCGCAAGAAATCTGATTTCGCTGAAACGCTTGGCTCATTTGCGAGCCGATTTCGTCCGTTGACGTTGTACAGTAGGCTGCAATGCTTGGACCCGCTCCGCTCAGAGCCACACTTAATGCGCCTGCACGCATCGCTGATTCAGCTACATCATCAAATCCGGGGATGAGAGAAGTTCGGTACGGTTGATGGAGTCGATCTGCCATGGCAAGCGATAACATTTCGAGTTTGCCTGTTGCAATTGCTGCGACTAGCATCGAAGAACGGCTCACATTGTGGATCGCATCAGCGAAATCGACTGTTTGGGGCAAGACACCGCGGGCTACTTTGGTTGACAACGAAAAGTCGGGGATTGCCACAACAACCCGCAGATCTGAATCGCAATCCAATTGAATTGAGTGTACGTGGCTACCCTGCATCATAGATATGACCAAGCCACCTAGCAGTGATGCGGCAACATTATCCGGATGCCCTTCAAACTCCGTGGCAAAATCGAGCAATTCAGTGCGGGAAAAAGGATTATCGCATAAGGCATTTGCTGTCAACAATCCACCGAGTATTGCTGTACCACTGCCACCTAATCCCCGAATTGCGGGAATGCCGTTTGTTAAAACCAATCGTAGCCCTTTCGGCTTATACCCACACTTGTCGAAAACCAAATTTGCGGCTCGGTAAGCAATATTGCTCTCGTTGTTGGAGAGCTTGTCTACATCAACGCCGGCAACTTCAATCTCCGTTCCATCCCCAATTTCTTCAAGCGAAATCGTGCTATAGAGTTGTAGGGCAAGCCCAAGGACATCAAAACCCGGACCTAAGTTTGTGGTGCTCGCTGGAACGCGAGCGGTTGCTTTGTTGGGCATCAAGTCTACCTGCGGAAATTAAAAGCAACTACCGAATCCTTGAAATCGCCGAATCCATCCGGGCTAAGGCTTCCTGAATGTTTTCCAGCGAGTTTGCATACGACAGTCTCAAGTAGCCATCGCCATATTTACCAAAGGCAGTGCCGGGTAGGACCGCAACCCCTGCGTCTTCAAGCAGGTAGTCCGATAGGTCTTGGCAGGAAAGGGGTAGTTGTGAGACATTCGGGAATACGTAGAACGCGCCAAGGGGTTTGATACAGCTCACACCCTCAATTGCATTGAGACCATCAACGATTGCATCACGCCGCTTTCTGAACTCAGTAACCATTTCGTGGACGAAGTCTTGCGGTCCCTTCAGTGCCTCAATCCCTGCAAACTGAGTGAAAGTTGCGGTACACGAGTTGGAGTTTATAGTCAACTGTGTAATCTTATCCGCCAGTTCCGTAGGAGCAATCCCATAGCCCAACCGCCAGCCGGTCATAGCATAGGTTTTGGAGTGCCCCTCAAGCAGAATCGTTCGCTCCTTCATACCCGGTAGACTGATGAGGCTATCGTGGACGCCTTCATAAAGGATTCGCGAGTAGACCTCGTCTGTCAGCACATAGAAATTGTGCTTAATTGCTAGCTCAGCGATTGCTTCCAAATCACTTTTTGCCGACGTGCCGCCTGTCGGGTTTTGTGGCGAGTTGATAATCAACAGCTTCGTCCGATCCGAGATGGAAGCCTCAAGATCTTCAATCCGGAAGCGAAAATTAACCTCTTCACGCAACGGAAGGGGAATTGCTTTCCCGTCAATGAAGTCAATGACAGATTCATAGATCGGAAATCCGGGGTTAGGATAGATAACTTCATCTCCTTCATTGACAAGCGCCAAAATGGTGAAGAAGATGATAGGTTTGGCACCGGGCGTAACAGTGACTTCATCCGGATGAATCTCTACACCCCGCGTCTCTGAAATATGTTCAGCAATAACTTCACGAAACTCCAATAAACCCGCGGATGGCCCATATCCGGTGTGACCATCCTTCATTGCCTTGAAAGCCGCCTCGCAAATATTCGCAGGGGTTATGAAATCGGGTTGACCAATTTCGAGATGGACAATATCTCTACCCTGCGCTTCTAATCCTTTGGCTTTGGCAAGTACCTCGAAGGCAGATTCCGTTCCCAAACGGTCCATTCGATCTGCAAAATTCATCTATCACCTCAATTTTTGAAAACGGATTCTCCTAACTTAGGATTGTGTTCAAATAGATAGGTTCTACTTTGAATACGAGATCATGAAACCACCTGGACCTGTTATCCAGACGTGGCTTCCATCCAAAGTGAAGACATCGGATAGCTGTTGTTTGCTAATAATAGGTGCCTCATCTTCCGTGAGGCTCTGGTTTTCCCATGTTTCTCCACCATTGGTTGTATGCAGGATAATGCCAACCCCGTAATCACCGCCAACTATCCAGCCTACGGCACTGTCAGCAAAGCTGACGCTCAATAGCTTTTCCTCCGTTCCGCTCGTTTGGATATCCCAACTATCGCCGCCATTTGTGGTGTGCAAGATAATACCGTTTTCTCCGACCACCCAACCATTGTTGGCATCGATAAAGAAAATATCTTCGAGAATATCCGGGATATTTGTGGGCTGATCCATCCATGTTTGTCCACCATCGGTAGTTTTCTGAACTAAGCCATCTTGTCCACCGGTTTCTGGACTAATCCTAACCCCTGCTACCCAACCGGTGGATTCATCAATAAATTGGACAGTATTAAACACGATCGTTTCTTCATCACCCACAGCAGAAGCAATTTCACCACCGTGAAGCACATTCCACTGTTTTCCACTGTTATTGGTCTGAACAACTGTTTCGCTCATTCCAACTGCATAACCGATTTTGGGGCTAACGAAGTGAACACCTTTAAGCCAGTTCCCAACCTTACTCGTTTGGACATCCCAGCGTTTGCCGCCATTTGTTGTTCCGACAATCATGCCCTGTTGGCCCACTGCCCATCCATTCTTTTTGTCAAGAAAGTAGATATCCGTGAGTGTTGTCTCAATAGGGGTTTCCACTTGCTCCCATGTCTTTCCACCGTCTCTAGTATGACCGATATATCCTGTTTGGTCAAAGGGGGAACCTCCAGCAACCCAACCCTCCTGTGAGTCTAGGAAGGCAGCAGCACTAAACGTCCAATCCATGTCAAGATCCTTTACAACGTTCCATTTTCCGCCGGCATGGAGTAACGTTGTTGCTAATACAACTGCTAATAGAATCGCTCCCAGTAAAACCACTCTTTTTTTCAACATGCTTCAATTGCTCCTTTCACAGTTTTTATATTTTGCCGATCCTCAAGGCTCAGATCTTTGCAGCCTCACGATTCGATAAGCTTTATTCCTGTGCAACTTATTTTTTTAGAATAGGCTTTAGTATAGCACCCATCATAGATGCTGTCAAGCACAAACATATCGCTCTGCAGCATACCTTTGGAGGTGCAAAAAAAAGCCCCAAGACTCCATACCTCCTGTGTCTTGGGGCTTGATATTACATAGGGTTGATGGAGATTACCAACGCACTTGGCAAAACTCCTCATAATCAATCAGTTCGTGAATCGTCGGGTTCTTACCACAGGCGGGGCATTCAGGATCTTGACGAAGCGTCAGTTTCTTAAACTCCATTGATAAAGCATTGAACAGAAGGAGTTGACCGATCAACGGTTTCCCAATATCCAGTAGAACTTTGATGGCTTCGACGGCTTGTATATTCCCGACAATGCCCGGCAGCACGCCGATCACACCCGCTTCTTGACAACTCGGCACCATATCAGGTGGCGGGGGCGATGGGTAAAGACAGCGATAACACGGTCCCTTGCCGGGATGGAAGACAGTTACCTGTCCTTCAAACTGGAAGATGCTGCCATGTACAATCGGTTTGCCAAGCATCACACTGGCATCATTCAGCAGGTAGCGGGTCGGCAAATTATCACACCCATCAACAATTAGGTCATAACCCTCAAGGATTTCAAAAGCATTTGCTGAAACAATCTTCTCGGTATGCGTGACAACTTTAACATCGGGATTGATGTCCGCAAGCGTTTCCTTTGCGGATTCTGTTTTCAGTTTGCCCACATCGCTCGTTCCGTGAAGAACCTGTCGTTGGAGGTTACTCACATCTACAATATCGTCGTCAACGATTCCGAGCGTTCCGATGCCAGCTGCGGCTAGGTACAACCCTGCCGGTGACCCAAGTCCGCCTGCACCGATGAGAAGCACCTTCGATTCAAGCAGCTTAGTCTGACCCATCCCCCCGACCTCTTTAAGGATGATGTGGCGACTATATCGCTCAATTTGTTCACTACTAAAGTTGTGCATCTAAAAATTCCCTCGTTGTGAACCGCAAGAATGGATTCTAGTTATTTTCCAAGTTCGCCAGCAGATCCGAAATTCCTTTGCCTGAACGTGCAGAGATTTGAACCGCAAACCGTTCTCGCACATCTTCAGATGCACGTTCAACCGTAAAGTCGTTCCCACCGTACATCTGCTCAAGCACCGCGGTTAAGTCCGGCTGAATCGCCTCAAATATTTCTTGGGTGTTCGGTGCAACATGGCGGTTATTAATCATAAACAGGATTTCATCCCCGTTCAGATGCACTGCGTTCTCTAGTTCTTCAGCTTCTTCTAAACGGACGCATCTTTGAAGCGTCTCAGTGAACGCTTGATGAATCTTTTCGCGATTATCTCCTTCTACCTTATGTTTCCGGTTATAGAGAAAACCGTGACGATTTCTGGCTGCATCTATGCTATAATTCGTGCTTTGGGAAATTAGCAAAACGCCGGGGCCCGCATGGGTAAACGAGTAGTCAGCGTAGTTCAGGTACTCCTCTGGCTCCCCTTCCGCCATCCACCTATTGAAAACCTTGATAAAATTCTCGTAATTGACATGGCCGTCTTCTGTGGCGAAGACCTTGATGTTAATCTGTTGTAGATCCATAGGTAATTATAACTTTGAATTCCTTTCTATGGGAGATGAGTCCCCGCTTACTGCACTTATTAGGGTGCATTTATTTTTCTTTCGCACTTCTTAACTCAAAAGCCTTAACTATGACGTATGCAATTAAGGCAAATATAAATACCACTAAGTACATCCAAGCAATCGCTTGAAGGGTTTCGATGATGGTTCGATATACTTCTAGTATCCATCGCTTATCATTCAACTCTAAAATCTGAGAATCTTTGGCAGGTGCACTTATATATCTTTCTAGCTGATGTATTCTCACGCCCCCGGAAATGCCAACCACATAAGCAGCAAATTTCACATACTTATGCCATGCACTACTTATTTCGTCCTGAATGATGCGCCTAAAGATGGCGGATATCGGCTTATCAAAGACCTTTACAACGCAAAATGAGACGACAGCCGCTAAGACGAACGTGACCAATAGTAAGGCAAAAAACATATATCCTTCCTTCTGCTTGTTGATATTATAAAACTACAGTTCTCTGCTGTCAACTGCAACGGCGAGTTCAGATTGCTACGGTTGATCTGAGATAGGTCGCTGAAACAACTGAAGCGCAACAGTCGTATTTTCGCGTATATGGTGATTCTCGTGGTTCCCATATTTATCGCATTGTTACCATTCTCTATTTATGCTGTAAGCATCAAAGACCATGTCTACACTAATTATTGGAAGCCCTTCGGCTAGTCCTTGAGCGATTATCAAACGGTCAAACGGATCCCGGTGATGAAAAGGTAACGTAGTCAGCTGTATGAGGCTATTAACTGTGATATCCAATATGTCAATTCTATTGAGATGTAGTTGTTCTGGGAACATCTGCTCAAACGGTTCATCTAAATCAAGTTTCCCTAACCCCGTTTTAATTGCTATCTCCCATAGGTTGACAATGCTGATGAAACTCTCATTGCTTGAACTCTCGATTAACTGGCGTGCTCTACGACTCAGTTTCTTGTCGTCAGTGAGAAACCAAAGCAGCGTATGTGTATCAAGCCGATACTTCATTCCATATACTCTTTGAAATCTGGGAGTTCGTCGTCAGTCGAAATCTTCACGATGTGAATAAGTCCTTTCGCGCTCCCAGCACCAGTCTTTAACCACGGTTCTAGAAAAATGGTTTTCCACTCATATTGATAGGTTGGCATCAACGTACTTGTTCCTTCAGCAAAAACAGAAGGTGATACTTCACATACGTCTTATCCAGTAATTTAATGCAATCCTCCAGTTCCCTCGAATTCGTATAATTGACGGTTCGCCCTTATCCCAATGCGCAATGCGTTTATCAGCAAACTCCTCATGTTTTCTACTGCTAATTTGAGTGCATTCAGATCGTCTTTTACCATTTGGGGGCAAACATGCTCTCCGCTGGCATCTGCGTATGGCGCGAAGTCATCCATCTGTATCAAATCCTTCAGTTGGGAGGTGCTAGTAATCCCTACCTCTTCAAGCTCCTCCCTACCTTCCATCTCGATTTGGCTCATCTCAGGTCCATCAGGATAAGCACAGAGGGAACGGTAGTAGCTGCGAGACAACTCTTCAGGGTTTTTAGCAATATCCTCAAGCAAGCCCACAAAAGATATACTGTCCTTCTGCGGTTTGATTTGCCGACGGAGCCCTGATAGCGCATGGGAAAGATAAGTCCTCCCAAGATAGCGATAGAAAGCACTTGGCTTTTGGATGCGCGGATTCTCACGGATAATGTCTTGGACTTCCCAGAACATGTTTGCATCCACAGCAAGACCATAAATCTCTTTTTCGATAGCCTCCATCCATTTGAGCCACTTGTTCAGTTTTGGGCTCATCTTAAATTCTTGATTCATGGTTAAATACCGTTTCAAACAGGAAAATGATGTTTACGCGGATGACGACGGGAAAGTAGACGCCGGAGGACAGTGAGTCCGCGCCTTCATTGTCCAAGATTTGAAGACCACTGCTTCTGAGACAACACTAGTCTCTTCCCCTTCTTTGATTGCATTTGCCAAAGCTATGTCTTCAAGAACTTCAGTGAAAACATCATACAATAGATCTCTCCGTTCCTGTAGCAATTCAGCGAATGCTTTAGTTCGTAATACTTCCTTGAGTTGATTTTTATCATCAGTGATCTGTTGCATAGCAGGCTCCTAATTTGCTTTATTTCAAGGCAGTTTGGTTTTGAACTTTGCCAAAGCGTAAAGTATCTTTGCTTGTACAGATTCCAAAATTGAATCTCTAATGAAAGCACTAGCATTTAGAATTTCGATACGACCGATTAGTATTTCCGTTGTCATTCACATCTAACCGTAATATTGGGATTCAGTTCATGCTTACTCCGTGTTCATCAGAAATCTCCAGATGCAATATATCTTCTTGCTCAAAATATGCCATCTTTGTCTTATTCAAGGGTATACCTCCCGGCCTGATCCGGAATCGACATCTGTTGACGTGTGCTTGCATGACGTTGCGGAACGCTAGCGGCGTGATTAACCCTTGTTGAGGCTTCATAGAGATTCTAATCAGTGTGGAATTGCACCGCATCAAAATCATTATACGCATCCTCAAAAAATAAAGCGTGACGAACCCCACTTCGGTCCATCACGCTTTACTTTGACAATACCTTATCCGTTATTCACCTTTACGAATCACGAGCCGATAGTGCTGACCAACCTTCTTAGTGTCGGCGATCTCATGCCCATCATTCGTTAGGCTCTTGGGGACGTTTTCAATCGGTTCGCCATCGTCAATCGTGATTTCCAGCAGCTGACCGACATTCATCGTCTCCAAACGAATCTTGGCTTGCACGTAATTGAACGGACACGCCACACCCTTGAGGTCAAGACTATCAACAATCTCCTCAACAGGCTCCGCTTTCGGCGGTGCCTTGGGGATGCGAGCCGGTCTAGCTTCCCGCTTCTTAGTGCTTGATTCCTCCTCCTGCCGAATCCGCATCCGTCCGTAGACGTTATGCGCTTCCTCAACAAAGAGGGTCGCTTCCTCAACGCGACGGTGGGTGAGCTCCCTATCAAAGGTGCTAGCATCCTCCTTGACCGCCTTAAATATATGCGCCCCAAAGCCGGGGAAGACAATTCCCGGCTCAAAGAACCGACTTCGGAACTCTCTGACCGTGGCTTCGTTGTCAATGTGTTGCAGTCCCTCGGTCGTCAGCAGTGCGTCCGCGGCTTTGATCATCGCTTCATAAGCGTGTTGAGCGGAATCCATGTATTCATCTCGTTCGAGCTGTAGCCCCGCCTCATAGATGAGCCGGTCTGCCTCTTCAAGCATGAACGAGACCAACTCGATCAATGCCCCTGCACACTCGCCGACACCTGTTTTGAGTTGAAACTCCTTCGTGTCGCCGGTGTCGATATAGTAACTGGGATCTTCCTCGAAGGAAGGGATCTGATCATACTCACGGAGGATTGCCTTAACCTCGACCTTGCCGAGCCGCGCAACGTAGTCAGTAAACGATTCATCGTTATGCCGTTCATCAAGATACTTCCCGGTCAAAGTGCTCGATGAATTGCGGAATATTCTTGCCATGGATTTTTCCAGCGGCAAGTCCATAAGCACTCCCATTCTCAATAGCGTGACCGCCCAAGATTAGCTGATAATATGGGGCGATGTGTTTCCCCATACGTCTTGATGAACCGAAGAACCCGATGTTTGCGACGTGGTGCTGACCACATGAGTTGGGGCAACCGCTGATCTTAATCCGCAGATCTTGGATCTCTTCGTTCACACCAGTTTCGAGGAAGTAATTCCTCAAGTGAGCAGCTAACCCACGAGAAGATGAGATACCCAGTTTGCAGGAATCGGTGCCAGGACATGCTGTAATATCAACCGTGCTTTCGGCGCCCGACTCGCCCAGACCGATAGCCTTGAGCTCCTGATAGAGGGCAGGCAAATCGCTCATACTGACCCAACGCAAAACAAGATTCTGCTCGACGGTTGTGCGAATGGTGTCCTTGACATATTTACGCGAAATATCAGCCAATGCCCGCGCCTGATCCGCGGTGATGTCTCCGAGCGGCAGCGTGATATTGACCCATGCGTATCCCGGCTGTCGTTGCGGACGCACGTTCGTGGCGTGCCAGGCATCAAATCCTTCTGGCTTTGATGCGCCGTTGAGTTGTGTCGGTGGTTTCAGTGGTGCTTCGTCATACGCATTCAGGTCGTCCAGATAAGCTGTCCATGCGGGGTCATGGCGCAACTGTTCACGTTCTTCCAAGACAAGACGACGGAATTCTTCAATGCCGAGTTTTGCTACGACGAACTTCATCCGTGCTTTGTTACGGTTTTTACGCCTCGCCCAAGCGAGTGAACACCTTTGCAATCGCTTGCGAAATCGGTAGCAATTCCTCTTCAGGTACAAACTCGTCAAGACTTTTGCCTGATGTGGCACGGCGCCAAGACCGCCCCCCACAAGCAACTTAAACCCACGCTTCGGTTTTCCATCGACCTCTTTAATCGCCGCAACCGCACCGATATCGTGCATATATCCTAAGCCACAAGCGTGTTCATGGCATCCGGAAAACGCGATCTTGAACTTACGTCCGAAATCTTGTGTATCTTGATGTCCCAACAGAAAAGCGGACAGTGCCTTGGAGTGAGGCGTTACATCAAACGGCTCGTCGTTGCACACGCCAGAAAGTGGGCAAGCGGTGACATTCCGAACCACATTGCCACACGCTTCCTTGGTTGTTATGCCAACAGAAGCCAATCGCCGCATGAGCTCTGGCGTATTGTTAATGTCGACATAGTGATATTGCACATCTTGGCGAGTCGTGATGTGAATAATATTATCTGAGAATTCCTCAGCAACATCGGCAAGCATTTCAGTTTGTGCCGCGCTTAGACCGCCGAATGGAATTTTTACGCGAATCATCTGTGAACCGTTGTCGCGTTGTCCATAAACACCGTGACGGAGTCTAAATTCGAGGAAAATCTCCTCTGGCATCTGACCCGCTTGAACGCGACCCAGTTGCATCTCATAAATTTCAATTGAGCGGACCTCATCCGGAGATATTGCATCCGCATTAAAAGGTGCTAAACTTTCTGTCGCCATTATTGGCTCCTTCCAAATTGGGTTGAAGGGTTCGTATAAACAACGCCATCACTGATGGGGTTTGGTATTCTAATCTATTACACTGTTCTTAATTCTGATGCTTCGGTGAGCCGTTACAGTCCAAGTCGTTACCTATATTTAAGAAACCTAGTTTCTCGTTCACTTTCCTCCAGATTTTGATCTAACGGGTCGAACTGTCTTCCCAATCTTTCCTCTTAGCTGTGAAAAATCGGTTTTTGTGCCTTTTTTAATCGAGATCGTACAATTATTATAACAAAAAAGAAAGCAGAGATCAAGTGCTTATGTTTATGCTAGGCAACAAAATTGAATTCTTTACCAGACGACCCCGCATCGTTACTTCCCTGATAATTATGATTATATCTCAATTTCATGAATTTTACAAACAAATCTGCTGACTTAGGGGTATTTTAGCCGATTACTTTTGAGCATGAGATTTGACAGGGATCTGGACATAAAGTATAATAACCGCAGTCGAAACATATAGAACATTGCCCGCGCATTTTAGGCTTCATATCCGATACTGTAGGGGTTTTATCCCTTCACGCGGCTGGATCTTCTTTGGAATTAGTGATAGAATCATTTCCAACATCGTATGCTTACAGCATCAACTCAGAGAATCATAAACCTGTAGATGATTCCAAGGTAGGTAATGACAATGAAAACTTATAAAATCCTAGTTGTCGATGATGAAGTAGATATCGTTGATTTTATTGATGGTTATCTGACAGGAGAGGGATATGAGGTTATCAAAGCTTACGATGGGGTTGAAGCACTTGATAAGATGCGACAAGACCTACCCGATCTCGTCGTCCTTGATGTTATGTTGCCGGGATTGGATGGCTTTGAAGTCTGTAAGCAAATGCGGACAGAATCCACTGTTCCAATTTTGATGGTTACAGCGAAAGATACCGATGTGGATAAAATCGTCGGATTGGAAATTGGCGCGGATGATTATATGCCAAAGCCATTCAATCCACGTGAATTGGTAGCACGGATTAAAGCAATCTTGCGAAGAACCTACCGCCAAGATTATCAATCCCATAGCCAGACGGTAACGCTGAAACATAAAGATTTGTCTATTGATGCTGAACGCCGGATGGCAACTATTGGGCATAGGCAATTAGAACTCACCATGAAGGAGTTCGATCTTCTACTATTTTTGATGCGAAACCCAGGGCATGTCTATTCGCGCGATCACTTACTCGATTATGTGTGGGGGCAGGATAGCTTCGTGGGAGCGCGTACTGTTGATGTACACATCCGGCGACTGCGGGAACAAATCGAGACAGATGCGAGCCAGCCTCAATATATTAAAACTGTCTGGGGAGTTGGCTACAAATTTACCGATGAGTAATTTTTCAGTTGGAAGTAAGAATAGAAGTACAGACAGGTTTGTGGATTTCTGTCACTTGCCGCTGTTCCGATCTCCCAATCTTGTATTCTTTCTGTCCTTGTGCCTTAACCTTCCAACCTTTCCTTTTTTTCTTCTCCCGTCCTTTTCTTTTCCTCAAGTTAATACTTTTTCTCGTATTGATTGGGGTTGGCATGGTGGGCTTCCCTGTGCAAACGCATGCCGCATTTGAAGATGGGTTTATCGGTGCACGTGCTTTCGCTATGGGCGGAGCGTTTACAGCAATCGGGGAGGAATCAGATGGGCTGTTAGTTAATCCCGCATCAATTGCTAACCTGAGGCATCAACCTGAATCGCGCCGATCCGCACAACAGTTGTCAGCAACAATGGCGAGGCTACATGTCGGATTGAGCGATGAGACCTCAATTACACAAAATCTGATTAGCTATGCCTATTCCCGACCGACGCGAGGGGCTTTAGGATTTCTCTGGAAGCGGTGAATGCCGGGGAGTTGTACTCGGAAAATTACCTCCTCGTTGGTTTGAGCAAAAGTTACGACTTCGGAGCGAAAGAAAAACGTCGCATCTCACTTGGAGGTGCTGTCAAGTTATTAAATTGGGACACAGCACCCACAATCGGGGCAGATGGTGCCGTTGTGGAGGACTTGCCGGGGCGAAGTCGGTTGGCTCTCGATGTTGGCATGATCTTTCGTCCATCCCCAAATATTCCAATAGCACTATCTCTCCAGAATCTCAACACACCTGATATCGCTTCTACCAATTCGGTTTCCACAGAAAATCTTCCGCTACAAGTGATACTCGGCATGGGTATTGTTGCCAAGAACTCTACATGGGGGATGGATCTCGTTTTCAGAGAAAGCGAGGTCGATGTCAAGGTCGGCATTGAGTCTCAGTTTTACGAGGAAAGTTTAATCCTACGCGGCGGATTCCGATTGGAAAATCTGGCGTGGGGAACAAACTTGACACTCGGAGGTGGGTATCGTCCATTCAAAAGCCTCCGAATTGACTACGGCTTTTCTCTTCCCTATCGGCGGAATCAGGGACACATTAGGTAGTCATCGGTTTAGCATTGTTTACGATTTCTGAAACGCTATCATTAGATCCAGAAAGTGTATGCCGGGTGACCGAGGATCGCGCAGAATATAGTCCAGAAACTGCCGACAATAAACTCACCTAGAATTAAGCCAAGAAAGAAGGGCACCGCCTGTTGGTGCATTTTGAGTCCGCCATAGCGCAGCAGCGTGGCTTTGGTTAACCAACTGAAAAAGAGTGGGAGCCACAGCATGTTCATCGTCCAGGCTCCAGAGAGTGCATACTTTGTATTTTTTTGCAAATTTTTCAACCTCAATCTCCTCTTGACGAGAAAATAGATTCGTGATAATATAGCCACCATGAAAAAACAGCAACAAAAGATTTGGGAACCTAGGATGCCAGACATTGAGAAGAGCTCCCGACTGGCAGTGAGGCTTGGAATTTCACAACTGGTAGCACAGCTTCTCATCAATCGGGGAATTGAAACGGAAGACGCAGCGCATGCGTATTTGTATCCAACACTCAATCAGCTGCATTCCCCATTTCTGCTGTACGGGATGGAGAAGGTGGTCGAGCGCATCCGTTTAGGGATGAATCGTGGCGAACAGATTTGGATCTTCGGAGATTATGACGCAGATGGGACAACAGCGGCTTCGCTCCTGATAAACACGTTCCGGCACCTTGATTTCCCCGTGAAACCTTATATCCCTAATCGATTTGAGGAAGATATGGTCTCAACAAGGAAGCTATTCAGAAGTTAAAGGAACACGGCTGCAATCTGTTGATTACCGTTGATTGTGGAATCACATCGATTGAAGAGGTGGAGTTCGCTAACGCGCTTGATATAGATGTCATTATCACTGACCACCATCAACCGCGGCCCGATGCGCTGCCGCCAGCAATTGGACTCATTACCCCCAAAATGCCGGAGAGCGAATATCCCTTTGATGGTCTTGCGGGAGTCGGGCTGGCGTTCAAGTTGGCGCATGGGTTGATGGGCGGTGGAGATCTGGACCCGTTTCTGCAATCTCAACTGGATCTGGTTGCGCTCGGTACGGTTGTAGATATTGCTCGCTAGTGGGAGAAAATCGAGTCCTCACAAGTCTCGGTTTAGCAGGAAATCAATAAACGTGAACGACCGGGGATCAGGGCACTCTGTGATGTGGCAAACCATAGCGGTAATAAGCAGATTGTTGGGCATACGTTATCGTTCGTTTTAGGACCTCGAATTAACGCCGCGGGACGGATGGAGACGGCGGATAAGGTGGTCAAATTACTGACAGGCGAGTCCTATGATGAAGTAGTGCCAATCGCCAAGGAACTTGATGCCTATCAACCTAAGGCGGCGGGAAGTGGAGAACAAAATTCGGGAGCAGGCAGCCGCTACGATTGAAAAGGATAGGGATCATGCAAAAAAGAAGGAATAGTTGTTGCCCATGAAGATTGGCACCGGGGTGTCGTTGGGATTGTCGCTTCGCGGCTGCTTAATCGGTATTACCGCCCGGTGTTTGTACTGGCAATTGATGGTGACGAAGCACACGGTTCAGGACGTTGCATCGAGGGCATGAATCTCGCTGACAGCTTAAACGCATGTAGCGACCTGTTGGTCAAACATGGTGGACATCAAGCGGCGGCAGGTCTAACAATCAAAACGGAGAACATTGATGAGTTTGCTGTCCGATTTGACCAATATGCGTGTGAGCACCTCTCTGATGAAAGTCTAATCCCCAAGTTAAAGGTCGATTTTGAGGTGCAATCTTCCTATTTGACGATGCAAGCCCTAGAGGAATTACAGCAGCTTGAACCGTTTGGGGAGGATAATTCAGCACCACTTCTTGCGATGTCTAATCTTCACCTCCAGGGATCGCCGAACCTAATGGGGAAAGAGAAGAACCACCTTAAACTATTCGTGACAGATGGCGGACAACCACTTGAGGCGGTTGGATGGGGGATGTCAGATTACTTCATCGCATTGAAAAACAAAAACATTCGATTAGATATAGCTTTTGAACCGGAGATTAACGAGTGGGGTGATACTCGTCGCGTCCAACTAAAGATTGATGATCTGCACATCCACACGCTTGAACGCCATATCCCTGATGGAATATTTCCAACAAATGAAGAGGAAAGCCCCGCTAGAATTGTTGACCGTAGAGTTTTGGACAATAAGCAGGATTACCTGCGCAATCTCTTGGAGCGGGGGGAACCGACGTTACTATATGTGCGGGACGAAAAGGCGTTAGACCAACTCTTTGAGATGCTCAGTTCAACGGATAAAATTGGGCGGTGCGAAGCCGATATGTCTGAAGTTGACAAAGCGCAAGTCGTAAACAAATTGGCACGTGGAGAATTACTTGCAATTGCTTCAAGTTGTACTTTGATTCAACTACCTTACATTGCTCACGTGGTTTTTTGCCACCCTGTTCCTGAACAGTTGACTTTCTTTAATCGATGTCAACCCGCATTCAAACATCCTGAAACAACATATATCCATCTTATTTATCAGCCCAAGGATATAGAGTGGATGCGGAAATTTATCTCTTGGGAATATCCAGATGACCAGATTTTGCGAAAGTTCTATAAATGCTTACAAGCGCTCAATCAGGACGGCGGGCACCGGCTCACACTTGAAGCAATCATAGCGGACGCACAGACTGATTCAATCCCGGCGCCTGCTGTTAAAAATGGTCTTTCAATCCTTGAAGAATTGCAGCTTTTGACGCAATATCCAAATTCTCCAAAACAAGAAATCCAACTTTTGCCACCCCCATCGAAGAAGCGTCAACTCCATGAATCCGAAACCTATCTAAACGGTGAACAGGTGAAACAAACAAACCAGTGGTTTTCGGAATTTCAATTGCGGCAGAATGTCAAACAGATTTGGGAGAGAGTGTCGTATGAGTGTCAACTATCTAATTCGCCAAATCCAAGCATATAACCCCGATGCGGATTGCGATCTTTTGCGAAGAAGCTATGAATTTAGCCAAACCTATCATCATGGTCAGCAGCGGATATCCGGAGATGCTTATTTTACCCACTGCTTTGAGACAGCCATGACGTTAGTTGAATTGAAATTGGACACGGATACCATCTGCGCCGGGCTACTGCATGACGTACTCGAAGATACATCAGCCACCCGCGATGAACTTGTGGATCAGTTTGGAGACACAATTACCGAATTGATTGAAGGTGTGACCAATATCAGTAAGTATAAGTTCAGAGGCGGAATCCAACAAAGGCAGGCAGAAAATTACTTGAGGCTACTTCTGGCAACAGCGAAGGATACACGGGTTATCCTGATCAAATTGGCAGATCGGTTGCATAATATGCAAACACTCGCCTCATTGCCATCACATAAACAGGAGCGTATTGCCAAGCAAACTTTTGAGGTTTATGCTCCGCTCGCCCACCGATTGGGGATTGCGCGGATTAAAAGCAGGCTTGAAGATCTGGCGTTCAAATATCTGCAGGCCACCGAATACAGAGAGATTGCTGATTTGCTTGCGGCGAAGTTAGGTGAACGGGAGGCGTATACGAAGTGGATGGTTGATGTTGTTCAACAGGAGCTAGATCTAATGGGGGTCAAGGCGAGGGTCTACGGCCGCCCTAAGCATATCTATAGTATCTATCAAAAAATTCATCAAAGAGGGGTTCCGTTTGAGCAGATCCGAGATCTATTCGGACTTCGCGTGTTGGTCAATAGCGTGGGAGATTGTTATGCAGTGATTGGAATTCTACACAATAAGTGGAATCATATTCCTGAGCAATTTAAGGATTTGATTGGTCTTCCAAAAGCGAATGGCTATCGATCTTTGCACACAACCATTTTAGATCGCGGGCAGCCTGTAGAAATTCAGATTCGGACCCATGAAATGCACCAGATCGCTGAATATGGAATTGCTGCTCATTGGCGGTATAAGGAAGGGATGCCATCGGAAACAGATAACGAAAGGATTTTTGCTTGGTTCAGAGACATGCTTGCGGAGATTCAAGAGTTCAAAGATCCGTTTCAGTTTATCCGCTCTATGAAAGGTGAGTTGTTCCCAGATGAGGTTTTCGTCTTTACGCCCAAAGGAGATCTCCACAGCTTGCCGGCAGGCTCAACGCCAATTGACTTCGCATACAAGATACACACCGATATTGGACAGACCTGTTCTGGTGCGGAAGTTAATGGCGCGATAGTTCCCTTTAAGTATCGGCTACAGAATGGGGATCGGGTGAAAATTCAGACTCGTGCGAATGGACACCCAAGCCGTGACTGGCTGCGGTGGGTCCAAACGGCGCGGGCACGTAATAAAATCCAGTCTTGGCTCAACGAACAAAACCGGGCACAAGCAATTGGTTTGGGAAAACGACTGCTCGAACTTGAAATGCGACAACGCCAACTGAGTCTGAAAGACTATCTCAAATCATCAGAACTACTTGGCATAGCGGAGAAACTCGTATCGAAGAAAAAGGCGCAACTGCCGCTAACTGATGAACTTTTTAGACAAATCGGCAATGGTAAAGAGTCGGCAACGCATGTTGCCAACTTATTGACTCCTGAACCACCTCCGACCACTGAGAAAAAAGAAAAGACAACACGCCTTCCCCAATCCGCACCATCAATTGAAATGGAAGGTATTGATTTAGATCTGGCACGTATTATGAAGTGTTGTCACCCCATTCCGGGAGATGAAATCATCGGGTATCTCACGCGGGGACGCGGTATTTCCGTCCACAGGGCAGATTGCCCTCGAATTATTAATGAGTCAGAAAGAATTTTTGATATTGAATGGACACCTGTTGAGAATGTCACTTATCCTGCGCCAATCACTGTTGAGTGTGACAACCGCCCCGGAATGTTGGCAGAGATTACGACATTGATTGCCCAGTACAAGGTGAATATTGACACAATTGGTTCCCATAGGTTCAGCAAGGAGACTGGTCATGATCGATTCACTTTGGAAGTGAATGGAATTGAGCAGTTAGAAGCTATCATGGAGTCCATTCGTTACTTAAAAGGGGTGCGAAACGTCTCCCGGGTTGCATCTTTTTCCTCTGAAAAGCGCAGAAGCGTATAAAAAGAATCAAAATGTCGCGTTACCCATTCCCACCTGATACTTTCAATTGCCATAGGCAACTTGTGCCCCACCAGAAATCGATTTTATAACTTTCCCGGTACGGAGACATCGTACGCATACACGGACTCGCTGACTCCCGCTTTCCGTTTGAACACGGACCCGCTGTAGGTTTGGTAGTTGTCTATGTTTTGAACGCTTACTAATCTGTCCACGGGTTCGGGCAATTTTATTACCTGCCATCGGTTTTTTCCCACAAACATGGCAAACTCGAGCCAATTGAACCACCTCCTTTCTTCGTAGTGCAACCTATTTAACATATCATATGCCCTGCTGAAATGCAAGGTTTTTTGTGTTTACTATATTGAATCTTCTCAATTCAATTTTCGATTTAGACTGATGTCTAGAGTTTTTATCTGTGCTTCCTGCTGTCGTGGAAGGTTAAAAATCCAATAGTTTCGGTGCTATCCGCCCGATGGTGCAATCCGCTCTGCCTCCAATCCTTCCGGGCGGAGAAAGTCCTTATAACGTGTCTGTATCTCGACACCGTTGAGACTACGGGTGAAACCTGCTGTCTTTGTCAAATGCTTTGTTGTAATTTCAAAGGTATTCTTTCCTCGTTTGATGTCATCCAGTTCCAGTTTGTACCGAAACCAGTGGGCGGACATACCGAGTGGTGCTTGGATGTGCATCGAACCCGCGAGTTTTACCGCGATGGTCAAGGCACGTTCGTCAGTGATCTCCGCATCCTCCCAAGGCAGTACCTTGCCATTGAAACGGAATTCAATATCATCCTCAATACAGAAGAAGGAGAAGCGAAGGGTGAGGATAGGTTTGCGTATCTCTCCGTCTTGCTTGGCACTTTCGATGTCATCGGCAACCCAGATATTGACAGCAGCGGTTTCTCCCTCCTTAATCTCCAATGGTAGTTGACGCCCCGGTGTAGTTGTCGGTTTGTCCAGTTCTCCCTCTCGCGGTTGAAGTAGATAACGCTTATCACTCCGTGCGTGGACTTCAGGATAAGCCACCTCTCGCAGAATCTGGTATTCCCTTTCGCTGAAGGGCCAGGACAGGTAACCGTCATATATGCCAGCCCAGCCATCCCATCGGAGTGTCTGCGCTAATGCGTTGTACATTTCAATACTCGGTAGACCGACCCGTTCATCATAGACGCGTCGGGGTGGACGATAGTAGGATGCGGCACCGGCTGCATTAGCAGCATCGGGCATCCAGCGAGGTTTTGGCTGCGTATCGGTCAGCACATACGGGTCTTGTCCAACGACGTAATTGATGCTACCTTCCTTGAGCCATGTTTCCACATCCAGTCCCATTGACAGATTTTTTTCCTTTTCGAGATCAACGCGCACCATGATGGGGATTTCTCTTCCCTGTTGATTTCCGATAGCGTTTGCCATCTCCCGAATTTCAGCAATGAAGCGATTCATCAACGGGATGTTTTTCTCTATCTCATCCTGCTTGAAATAATATGAATCGAACATAAAGTCCAATTCTATCCCATCAGCCTCGTAGTCCTCCAAAATCTCCCTAAGCACAGCAAGTTTTTCCTGTCGCACTAATTCGTGAGCAAAGTCATAACACCATTCCGCTCTTCCTTCCTCTCCAATACATACCTCGGCACCATGGTTCCATTTCAGCAGACCACACCGCTCGCTTCCCGGCGGGGAACTTGCCTGTAACTTCAGGGAAGGAAATACGGCAAGCCCCATTTCATGACCTCGTTTGATGGCTTCGCGTACTTGGTCGGTGCCCATTTTTTGGGCTTCCTCTACCATCCGCATAATTCGCCAGTCGATGTAATTTGCCCAAACCTCTTTCATCTGCCCCACAACACGCCCAACCTTGCTGTTATGGAAATATACATCAGCATATCCGAGTCCCAACACTAAGAGATCTACACCGGTGCCAAGTACCTCATCAACGGGCCATTGGAGCTTATGGATGGAAGCCGGCGGTTCTATCCGCTTTGCGTTGAAATGATGGGCATCGTTGTAATAAATTAGTCGAGGTTTCTTCATCGCTGTATTTCTCCCTTGAGGTAAATTCTTGAGGACAAGTTAATAGTTTCCTGTAATTTTGGAGGCAAAAATCGCGTTCCTATGCGTGTCACGCCACAATTTTCGCTGTTTTTCCCCGTTGAAGGACAATATGCTTTTTCCATTTAACATCGTCTTGTTCAACAAAATCTTCTCGATAATGTGTGCCACGACTCTCGGTGCGTAGAATTGCTGCTTCCATTATCAATGCTGCAACATCGCACATGTTCTGAAACTCAAACGCTTCGGCGCTGTGCCAATAGCAATTCGGGTTTAATTCTTTCAATTCATCGAATATCACCTCTAAATCTTCACCATGCCTAACAAGCCCAGCGTGCTGCCACATCATCTCTTGCACGAATTCCTGTGCTGCTTCAATCTCAATGTTCGGAGATGCTGTTTGAGAGGGAGAAAAGTCATCGTCAGAGGAGATCCGGAGGCTCGCATGACTGTCCGATTGAATTGTCCGTGCATATTCGACAGCCGCACTTCCAGCGCGCGCACCCAACACAATACATTCAAGTAAAGGATTGTTTGCCAACCGGCTGGCACCGTGAACGCCGGTACAGGCAACCTCCCCACAGGCATAAAGTCCGCGGAGGGTTGTCTCTGCGTTTAGATTTGTGCAAACACCGCCTATCATAAAGTGTGCGCCGGATCTGACGGGCATAACATCGGTGGTAATATCAATTCCAAACTGATGGCAAAACTGATAGATATTTGAAAAGCGACTTCGTATGAAATCAGGTGACAAATGGGTTATGTCTAGATAAACACATGGGCTTCCGGTTAATTCCATTTCGTTCAGAATTGCACGACCTACAACATCACACGGAGCAAGTTCCTCCATTTCGTGATATTTTGCCATGAAGCGTTCCCCACGCGAATTAATTAAGATGCCGCCTTCTTCACGTACCTTTTCACTAATCAAGCAGTGCGGCGCCTCCATCAGGAACAAAGTCGTCGGATGAAATTGGATAAATTCCATATCTATCATCTCACATCCCGCTCGCCAAGCTGCCGCGAAACCATCACCTGTTGCACTTGCCGGGTTCGACGTACATCGATAGATATGTCCAAGGCCGCCTGAAGCGAGGATGGTAGCTTTGGCAAAAATGCAGTGAAGTGTGTCGTTAATGAGGGCAACCACCCCATAGCACCTATCCCCTTCGGTCATAAAATCAATTGCAAAGGCTTGTTCGATGACCCGCACATTCTCCTGCTTTTTGAAGTGATTGACTAATATCGTCTCCTCTTCTTTGTCGTGGCTCGTTCCGCCCTGAATCAATTCTGAGACCTGTTGAACACCTTTTTCAACCATCACCTCGACAACTGTTTCATTGCAGAGTCCTCTTCCCATTTTTAGAGTCTTTTCAACATGGGAAGCGATGGTATCATCCTCGCTTATGACGGCAGTGATCTCACCCTGCGCATGGGGAAAGTTATTCTCTTTTATCGTGCGCTTAGTAATCAGCAAGACATCGCCATGTTGGTTAGCTTCAATCGCTGCCCTTAGCCCGGCGTTTCCGTCCCCGATTACTAGGAAATCGGTGTCGATTCTTGGTAATTTGGCTGAATCAAATTGGGCGATATATCGGTGATTCATTGCGGAAAGGTTAGGATGTTTGTACATATCCTCCCTTTTTGAACAAAACTTTGTTTCATACAAAGTAGATTGTTGTTTAACTTTGATAGGTGAGAATGTTGCCCAAGTCCAAGATGGCGGAACATCGAATAGGCGTTAAAAATCACCAATGACTTTCATCACCTTTCCGCTTCCTTCAACAATTCGTTCGCCATCTTCTGAATCAATGTGTGCTTCAACCTCAATGAGACGCTTACCCATTTTAACTCGATTGGCTGTAACAATCAATTTATCGCCTGCCATCGCTGGCTTCTTGAATCGGACCTCAAGTTGCGCTGTTACCGCAGGTCCATCAAAACTGGCAATACCCACATAGGTAATTGCTTCATCGAGGAGTGTACTCAAGATTCCACCGTGGATTACGTTTGCCCAGCCTTGAAAATGACCGGGGGGTGTACACTCAATCTTGACCCGTGTTCCATCGGGGGTCATATCTGGATTAACTTGTAACCCAAAAGGGTTTTCCTTACCACATGCAAAACAACGATTATTGTTCTCAACGCGCATCCATCAACTCCTGCTGAATTTTCAAGTTTAACATAAGATCGTATTGTAGCACACCGTATAACAAAAGGCAAATGAAATCAAGAAGCTCACCTATCATTATCGCCGAGTTCAGATATCAGTTACTAACGCTGAATTTTTTGCTGATAATTCCCTTGACAGAAGAACGAATATTTTGTAAACTTAGATTCTACGCAAAATACACATGCGCTAACGAAACGTTCTACCCAATACAATCTCTTAAATTTAAAAGAGGAGAAAAAGAGTTAGATATGAAAAAGTTTTTAACCCTACTGATGTTTTTTATTTTGGCTATTAGTGTCGGGTGTACTCCAGATCAACCGATTACACAACTGGAAGTTGGCAGAAATAAGCTGCTCGGTGCCGGTTTATCAATCGAAGCCGTTAACCACCTAAAAAGGGCGGAAACTGAAGAAGCCAATACTCCAGCTGAAAAAGTGGAACCACGAGCCTTATTACTGGTTGCCTACTCACATGCCCTCGCTACCGGAGACGCTAAAACTCAAGAAGTTGAGATCCCGGGGCTTGAAGCCGAATACAAGCAGGCGCGAAGTGTAAGAATTGCAGCATTAAGCAATATTGAAATGAAGAGAATACTTCAACTGCTTGCTGAACGACATCGCACACAAGACGCAACGATACAGATCTTGGTCGATAAAGGAACAGATGCTGTCCCCATATTGATCGAATATCTCGGTATAAGAAGATATTTGGTCCTTCGACCTGATTTAATTGAAATGCTGTATCAAATCGGTTCCAAAAGTGTAGACCAGATGACAGCTGCGCTCAATGATTCCAATACCTCTACAGAAATTAAAATGATCCTGGCACAATTGATTGGGCGGATAAATGATTCGCGTGCAATTCCCGCTCTAGAAGCAATTCAAAGCGAAAGTGACCCAGGATTGAAGATGGAAATCAACATTGCGCTTTATAACCTTGGCAAGCAAGAGTATCGGACGCAAATTATCACTGGGTTAAGTGATAACGATATTACGGTTCGTCGTGCAGCTGCGCAAGCGATGTTGCGACTTGACAATCCCCCAGCGGATGAGCTTGTCAGCACTCTCAACGACTCTGATGCACAGGTGCGTATGTATGCGGGCCAAACGCTTGAAAAATATCCAACTGAAAACGCCATCGATCGACTCATCGAAATTCTTACAAATGATACAGATGAAAGCGTGAAAGAAGCAGCAGCAAGAGCTTTAATCGTTCATGGTGGACAAGATTTTGGAAAAGGGATAGCACGGCGGCTCATTAAGGCGTTGCCGGAAGTAAGTGAACCAAAGGATCGGATACGGATTGTCCTAGTCCTTAAAAAAGATGCGCTTGTAGAGCAGATTAAAAATGCTGCAAAAGCGCATGATGATAATATCGAATACGACCTCTTTCTCTACTTTAAGAACGAAGAGCAGAATGATATGGTAAAGGAAGAACTCAGTATGTTACTAAATGGTTTAAGAGATTAAAAGTTTTTTTGAACGATTGAGATCTTCGCGATACTCTCAGATCTGTGTGAATTGATGCGAGATGCTGGAAGTGACAGCCAGAACGGCAAATATCTAACTTTAATCATGGATTGGGTAAAGTCGTTTACCACCTAACCGTGCGAGATGCGGTATGGTAGTGCATATGTGTAGAAGTTTATAAAGCCGTTGAGCATCTGTCAATGTTGCCCAGTAAAAAAATTAAATCACTCGGATAAAAATTATCTTTCGGGTGAACTCAAGTTGTCTCCTTGAGTTTAATGAGGGATTTGTCTGTTTCCAAATGCAAAATCAGGGCTAGCCGATTGGGAGTAGGATGACTATGGCGCGTTTATCTGCCCCACTTGGAACTGCTATAAAATCGCTTGCTCATGTTGGTGTGCCTGAACAGATGGACTACGAGGGTAAGTTTATTGTCCTGTCACCAATCAATCCACAAGTTGATGCTGAAGAACTCTACAGGTGCACCCACGGCTCAGATACGAAAGAGCAGATATGGACTTACATGAGTTACGGGCCCTTTGACAGCGTACACGGCATGCGACGGTGGCTTGAAGTTGGAGCAAAATCGAAAGATCCACTCTTCTTTGCGGTACACCATCGCGAATCGAAGCTTCGGGTGGGGATGGTGAGTTTTCTAAACATCATTTCTGATATGCGACGACTTGAGTTGGGACACATTTGGTATTCGCTTGATGCTCAAAGATCAAACGTAAATACGGAGTCCGTCTATCTAATGCTCTGCGAGGCATTTGATAGACGGAAATACCGTCGAGTTGAGTGGAAATGTGATTCCCTGAATGAGCGATCACGATTAGCTGCTATACGTCTCGGTTTTCAGTTTGAAGGTGTCTTTAGACAGCACATGATCGTAAAAGGTCGAAATCGGGATACTGCATGGTATTCAATATTGGACAATGAGTGGGCTGATGTTAAAAAGAACATGGAGATGTGGTTGTATCAGAACCCAAACCAGCAGTTGTCCTTAACAACACTTAACAGCAATAGTCCTTAAGTGGTTGAGTCTGTTTTCAAATCCTATAATTTAAGAAAATCTGTGGTTTTCAATCGATAATCAAAATATCCAACATTTTAGAAATAGCTTGAATTTAGTAACACCCTATATTAAAAATAGCCTGCTACTCCTCTCTCCTTCCATCATAGGGTTCAGTTCTTAACTTTCAAGTGCACGCTGCCAACTGAAACAGTCACTTCGTTAAATCTGAATCCTCCCCCGATTTTTTCTATTT